CGTGCACAATGGCTTGTCCAACACGAAAGTTAATAGAGTTCCGTATCTATATATTTCTGATAAAATGTAATGATATTGGGGGTGGGGATAATTAATATCGTGGATAGAGTTTTTTTATACCATAGGGAGCAAACTTGCTGATGGTAAGTAATTACTGCTGCCCATGAGCACTCGCAACTCCTAGGGAATTGCATTTAAGTTTTCAGCTTTTTTAAGGAGCAAAAATCTCTTTTCTTGAAAGTTCCGTTAGGGTTTTAAAAAACTTAATGCTCCTAACTATATAAATAGAACAACACAGATAAAAATTGTCATTTTTAGTGTTTATATTTATAGTTTTTTGTTGTTATAAGCACGACTACTAAACTATTTATCTTAAAATAACAAAAGTTAATGATCTTTTTTTACACAAAAATATTTATAACGCTGTTTTTCTCAAATTCAAATGTTTGTACTGTGCGAGGAATCGAACCCGCGGCCAGAATTGTATACTAAAACGCATCACCACCGAAGCCGTCAAGGCTTCATTTTATAATTCAATTCATGGTTTGTTATAAATATATATATTTATAACTTTATATATATCTGTATATATATTAATTAATTATTTTGTCACGGAATCCAAACCATCAATCCCCTAACCATGTGCACTCGACCGAATAAAGGTTCATATGAAGTGGCCATTCAGTGTCGAACATACCATTTTGCCATTACAGAATGAATTGGATACTAAAAGGGTTCCCTGCACAGATATGTCTTTAACCGATTTTAAAAAAACGACTTTTTCGATTACTTGCTATATTTTTAACTAAATAAATTTAGTCACCATAATTGATAAGTGAAACAAAAACTTTATACCCCTTTTTACGATAATTACGCGGATGGAGGAGTATGAAATTCTCTAATTGCATATTTGTAGTTTATGTAGAGAAGAAATGCAGAATGTTAATATTTGCTTAAAATTATGCGTAAAGAACACGTTACATGAATAAAACAAACATTTCACATACTACCATTAGTACCAGAAGTAAAGTCATTGACAATAAAACCTTAGTAATATTCAACCTTATAATTACAATTAATAACGATAGAATTTCGATCATTGAGTGACCACTAGCAATAATAATAAACCTAGACAATTCAGATAGCGCCATCTAGCCTCGAGCTTAACAGAGCTTGTGTTATGGCTTAACATTTTAACTGATATGAATATTCAGTTATATTTTTTCGTAAATGATGGTGATGTAATCCCGGCCGATTTCCACGGCGACTATCTTCAACTCTGATTTTGCCATTGATGTGCTCGCATGTGACTTATGTACCCAATTTTGTTTGTAACAATCCTCGCACATTGCGGCCATGAGAGCACACCGCTCACATAATCATAGCTGACACCCGCGGGTGGTCGGGCTTTCAGCTCGACGCGTCTGGGATCCAGCTCAAGGAGCCGCTGATTTTAAGCCTTGACGCTAGATTTAACAAACGCTCCTCACTCCGGCCGTCCGGCAGCCTGCTGCTCGCACAGCGAAGGATTCATGTCGCACTACTTCATGTGTTGCTTCAGCACATCTTTGTACCTGAGGAGTTGTCCGCCATGCTTCCGCTTGCCTTTCTCAAGTTCTGAGTAAAAGATGTCCTTTTGTAAGTACATACGTAATAAACGTAGAAAACATCCAAATAATACAAACACTCACACTTATGAATACAAATGTTGGTACTTGCGAGCACGTGAATCCGCGATCAGCAGATGTAAAATGGTATGCTAAACCGCTGATCACCGTGGATATCAACATAGTAGCGCTTTTAATAAATACTTCGAGGAAACTAAACATCTAAGATATTATAAACTTGCCACTTTATTAGACTTTGTAGAAAGTCGTCTGCGTGGGTATCTGAGTTTCCTATTTCAGCCGACAAGCAGTTTGATTTTAATATGTGTTTACGTTAAAGGGTGAGATAAGGCAGTGAAGTCTTAAGGTACAGAGGTATAATGTCTTAGTTCATTATTATAATAATAATAATCTCAGGACAATTCACACAACGCCATCTAGACCCAAGTTAAGCTAGCTTAAGCTTGTGTTATGCGTACTAGATAACTGATAGAAATACATTTTTTTTTTCGTAAATCGTAATCGTAAATACTATATATATTATACATAGAAAACACCCAGACCGATACAAACAATCATACTCATGAATATAAATGTTTGCTGTGCCGTGCGAGGAATCGAACCCGCGAGCATCGGACGTAAAGCGGTATGCTAGACCGCTATACCACCGAGATCGTTAAAATCTAATTATAAAGTGATCTTCTTTATATGACTTACAAACAAATGAGGAGTTAAATACATCCTATTTCAGAAAATTGAAGTTGATAAACTGGATCATACTGATTTTCAACTTTTGACGACCCCTTTGCACGCCGTTTTGTTTAGATTTTATAAAATAGAGAAAAAAATGCAATGTTACAATAATGCAATGTTAGAAGTATAACAAAAAATAAAACAAATTCATATATATATATATGAAAAATAATATCATAACTCCATTTGAGTTATGATATTATTTTTCATATATATCTCATAAAATTTTGTTTCGTAAATGTTGAAGTAGATAATATTATATGTTTATGTAAACCCAATATTTGGGCAGCGTGTTAACCAAGATAACGCGGCATAAAAGCCGGACTGTCCCGAATAAATATATATAAATTTCTAAAACAACCTCACTGTGTTATGGTAAGAAAATGTAAGATCAAGTGAATAGATCAGACGCGATATCTTTCTATTTTCAAAAAGGTTAGGTACCTGTACGACGAGAAACCTAAATTGATCAATTCATATCTTTTTTAATAAACAAAATCTGAATTTATTATCAAATTGATTTGTATATATGTGGAACACTTTTTAATACTCTTTATAATTTACTATAATCAATTCTATGCCTAAAATATTTATTTTTATCTATAACACTTTATGAAAAGTCTCTCAATCGAGTAAAATTCAAAAACCACTCAGAGCTTTTCAAGGGGTCATTAAAAGCCCCTCAGAATAGTTATAATTATTATTCTTTAGTTTGGCCCTTGTCTAGCATACTAACTATTCTGAAATCAGATAGTCCTAAAACCCGCTATTAATAATGAGAATTATATATATATTCATAGAAACAACCATAGATTACAAACTCAATTAGCATATGAGATACAAGTCACAAAATATCATTACAATAGAAATAAGAAATTACAATTATGTACCTATTACAAGTAAAAAAACTCTATCATTTCCTTTCTACTATACATTAGAACTCTAATATGAGCTAGGTCTACAAGTTACTACCCCCAGTAGGGAGGGGTCACCCCTCGTAGAGTTTATAATAAACGATGCGACTGGGACGAATCGTTCAACTGCTAACCAGTAAAAAAGAACTAAGGCTTCCAGAAACCAATTCAGAGAAAGTAAACTTTGCTTTCATTTTAATATACTATATCATCATATAAAAATGCCATCGCATTTTTTCAAATAAACATATTTTTAATCATTCATGATTTCACCACCACCAGATGATAGACCAGATGAGAAACTTTACTTTTTTATACAAAATAACAAATAGATCAAAAACATTCCCATAATACATGTATTATGAGGAAAAGAAAATCTGGAACCATCTATTCGAGAAATTCTTTCACTGTTTGAAATATATAATATAATAATAAATATAATATGCATTTCTGTCTGTGATTCATCTGTGAGTAACATATAACTTAAATAACCAAAATAATGAATAAAATATTACGAGCAGAATATTATCACAATTCAAAAGTACATCGTATATTTGAGAGACAATGGCGGCGACACAAAACATTATACTGCTGTGAGCTGAATTCCTGAAATAACGAGTTTGAATTTGCAAGGTATTCGCTATTAAAACAGGTTTGTTGGTATAAGGTGGCGTTCGTTGCGTAACAAACATTCTTTACGCATAGCCAAACACGGACAGCGGGTAACAAAACTAATCACTAACTGTAACCTTCGTCGTTGTCTGCGTAGATTTAAAGAAACTCTATACTAAAATTTTGCCCGAAAGCAATACTATCTGGTTTTAGAGCAAAGAGTATTACTGTCGTAAAATATCTCTGCTTTAAACGAGTACACACCCAGGAGGGAAAGGGATTGTTAGTAATATGAACCATCATGACCATTTGCCAGTAATGAGCCATGCCAGGTTGACAAGCAATTCCCCCTGGAAACCATTGGGATAACTGACTTTTCCTCATGCTGATCATATCAACTCCCACTGGTGCCGCGCCAGCGTAAACCGCTACCACAATTCCATTCCAATGTATAATATAATACATTTAAAAAATCCTGTAATACACATGTATTATACATATACACTTTCTCTTAAATCACTCTATCTATTGCCCAAAACTGGATTTAAATCCATTGCCTAATTTAGAAAAAAACTGACAGTGGCAGGGACTTTCTATACTATGTAAAGAAGAGTATCCAAATGCATTAGTAGGTACAAATCAAATTTGGATGAGCAGGCAGAGTAATAGCAATAAAGGTGAGTGTTTATGGTTTGGAAAGGAGTCCCTCAAATTTCCCGTATTTGAAATCTCATCTCATAAATTTTAGTCTCATTATTATGTACACAAAAACACAGTCGTCCAATAGAATTTCATTTTAAGAAAATAAAATATCGGATGCGCTACTAGTAAATCATAAACAATGCTATCTATGTTAGTCACTATTCATTGCGTTCATGCTGCAAATTTGCTCAAACAAAATGTGCTTTTAGTTTTCAGAACTGTTTAATAGATGTCGCTAGTAGGCAGTAAATATTTTTGGTCTGATATTGGGCTAGCTTTCAAACAACAGATTTCTTTTATATTTATTTAAGACAAGGGTAAAGCCACCTCTTAAAATTAAATATTTATTTTCTCAGTGGTAGGTGAATAAAGCATAAAATTTGATAAAATTATTATTTTATTTATTTTCTATTTACAAAGTGAGTGCAAACTTTTATTCTAATTGGTAATAAGTCATACATTAGCATATGTACGAGTAAGTGTACTTACATACTGTGTGTATTCATTAGAAACCTCTCTATTTATAGTCCAGGGACCAATGCAAAAAAATTAACTCTAACCGAAATAATATTCAATATTTACATCAGATATCACGTATTGTTATTAAAAAATATCTACTGAAAGATACGATGAGCATAATATAGATTGTATGTATTATTATATATATATATCTGTATTTTGTTTATTATATATATTTCATGGCATGTTGTCTCATTTATATTAGTATATTGATTGGCAGAAAACTTTATAAGACTAGGCTAAACTATAATATACGATTAAATCTGCCAGATTTGCTTTTTTACCTTTTGTACCTTTTAGAGTATCTGAATTAAAGTTAATTAAATAAATATATTGATTATATTTCACGCGAAGAACACCGTAACGACTGTTACGATAAAATATCTACTTGCAGCACTATTTTGCTTAAACTCTTTATATATTTTAGTTCTTCTTGTAAACATTGTTGATACTTCATCCAACGAGTTATGGCAAGAGACCAGGCAAAGCGTTGTCGAGCACTTCATTCAGAAGATCACTCAAGAAAGTATTGATGTCATCCTGTAAAATAATAAAATCATTTTTTTTTCGGGTTATCTGCCATACTAGTGAACGGGTGCTACTTGTGGGAACACGTCTGTTTAGGTTATGGCTCTGATTAAATTATTTACTTTGCTAATTGAATTTGAAAATGCATATTTATAATCATGTATGCAAGTTCAGTTGAAAAGAATAAGAGCTGAGTTTCTTGTCAGTTCTTAGCTCGAATGTACTTCGACCTGACGGTAGTACACCATACCTCATATACTTCCAAGAGATCTTCGACAAGTAGTTTCAGGAATAGATTCACGAAGTCGCTCGCAGCCTGGTCATTGAATAATCCATTGATTTGAGGCTGAAATTACAATTGCAATAAATACGAATATACACCTTTATAACAGATTTCTTAGTTGGGGCAGTCAAAGGCGATGTCTCATAAAAATATAACTAATTTATTGGACTGACTTAAGAAAGTATATTGATAGTATTTGGAAAGTTTGTATGATTTACATGTATTGGAAAACGGCAATGTAACTTAATTATAATGGAAGTGAATTGATTAATACAATTAATACAAATATAGTCTCACACATGCTAATGGTAGTAGAATTAAACAAAATAATATAAATCTATGAAGTAATGAAATGGACTTCCGCTAAATAAAACCTACTTCGATGAAAAGACGTCGTGGTGAATGTAACACTTAACATGCCCGAATGTCGAATGAATTTGACTCCGACGCAAAAAGCAACTTACCAATGTCTTTCAGATTACTTTGGTTTTTTATTTATCACAGCCGAGGATTCATTTATTTCAATTAACTCACAAAATGTTTAGTATCTACCTAATTAGAACTAACGCCCTTTGGGGTCTGAGTCGGCCATAATAAATTGATACAGACCGTACCAATTATATAAAATTCGATTCTCAAATCGAAGTCGGAAACTTGCAGGCTGTGAAGCAGCACCGTTCTACAGATATATTCAATATAACTACTGATCATAACGGTTATGATGATGTCATTGTCTTAGTAGATAAATGATGGAATGCATCATCACAAAATTTAACCTACCTCAAATGCACCCAGACTAACTTTGACCTCGGCTGTTGTGCCTGATGACACTGAATATCTAACAAATAAATCCAGTTTCGGTTCGATTAGTTTGATACTGAAATAAAATAAAAAAGCAAATTAATTGATATCACAAAAACTCAAATCCCATACATAGTAATATTATAAACGCTATAGTATGTCTGTCTGTCTGTTCTTCTGTATGCCTTTTTGTCTGTCTGTTTGTTTGATACCTTTTCATGTATCTTAATAAAATTTTATATAAGGATAGATTGTATTACAAAGACGGACATCTTTTATCTTTACATACATATAAATAAAATCGGAGTGTCTGTTTGTAATATTAAAATAACCGTTATTTACTACATGCTTAAACACTTCCATACAATATACATATATTGTATGGAAGTGTTTCAAATATTTCGTCGACAATAAATGTCACACTTTACCAGTAATATTGTATTTATTTGTATTTTAACTCCCTGTTGTTTGAAGTTAGAATCAAATTAAATTGTCTATACTACGTTCTAAAATATTGTAAAAATGCATTTAAGTGATTCGCATCCATAAATTGTTTATTATAAAATGTGTACTTACTTAAAATCTCCAGTGCCAAAAATGGTATATCCCATTACAGGTAGAAATAGATCATAATTAACTGAAAGAAAAACAAATAAATGTCACGATAAACATATTCAATATTATTGATATTCATTGGTGTCGGTTTGAAAGTAGCAGTTTATATATATTATTCCTTATTACACACATATTTTATTCCTTATTTAATCTAAAAATATATTGGCTTAGACGTTAGTGTAAAAAACGATTTTTTCAGACTCCTCTAATGCTGTTAGCCGAAGCTGGCCTTTACAGCGAGTGCAAATGGCACTCCAAACACGCGGGAGGACCTGGGGCGGCTGAAGGCCAAATCCGCCTAATGAATACGGCTTTAATCTGAGGGCACCGCTATTGTAATAGACTATTGCTATTGAGTAAAAACAATATACGCATCATGTTCTGTGATACATCTATGACATACAATATATCTATGGACCGCACTGAATACTGCAATATGCAGAATTAGATGTTAAAACCATATATCCAATTATTTGTGTACTAAATCCAGTGATTTAAATAGTAATAAAAAAAAATTCTGTAATTTTATATATAGTTATAGTGATAAGAAACAGTATTAAATTAAAAAAGTATTAAAATAATAGGGGATGCTACGATAAAAATTGCATGCGGGCGCTGTGAACTCTAGCGCCGGCCCTACTGCAAATTGAATAAACACTTGGCAAAATTAGGCCTTAGCTTAACAACAATCTGCAGATTTTGGCAAGCAGAAGAGGAAACGCCACTACACATCCTATATAGTTATAGTTCACTCATGCATAAACGAAATATCTCCTTTGGAAAGCATATACTCCTAAGAAAATAAAAAATATTACTCCAAAGAATCCTTCAATTCTCATCTCTGACGGGTCTAGGCTTCACTGCCTTTGAAAAAGATCGAGCACAATAAATCTATGCAGGTCGCAGTGCTACAAATCTGACCTGACAATAGCCCAAAACCCCAAAAAAAACGGTTTGTTTTAGTCGAAGGGAAGAGAAAGCACTAAATTACAGGTAACATACATGACATATCAATCCTCCAGAATAGCAACACATGAGTGGACTCAAGGGCGTTGCATAATAACGTGTTGACGCTTTATTTGGACTACTTTAGAATAGGCCAACTGAAGCCAACAGCTTCACCGATAGGGAACGAGTGCAGTTGGCACTTCAAACCCGCGGAAGGACTTATGGAGCGGTATATGCATAACCGGATATTCCCCCGAACAAACGAAACAAACAAACTGTACTTCTTTATATTATTAATATAGATGTAAAAAATAAATTAAAAATTGGTCAAGATAAATATAAGACGCTTACCAGCTTCAATTTCCAGGACGGGTATGTGGCCAACGATCGCAATGTTGGTTACTACGACGACCGTATTAACAGATACATCGTCAATGACAAACTGACCTAGATTCTTCACTGTTCCGTCATTAATCGTTACATGTGCCCTGTAATTATGCATAATTAATTTTATTACAATATTAGCTGTACTGCTGTAAAGTTAAATTCCACGCGACTTCGTCCGCGTGGAATTTAACTTTATTTTTCTAAAATAAAAGTAGCCTAAGTTACTCTCTATTACATCAACTACCTGCCAAAAAAAGTCCCGTCAAAATCGGTCAAGCCATTTCAGAGATTAGCTGGATCAAACAGACAGACAGACAGACAAAAATTGTAAAAAATGTTAATATAGTGTATGTACCGTATTTATATTCATATGCATGTAGTAAAAAAACGGTTATTTCAATATTACAAACAGATACTCCAATTTTATTGATATGTATAGATGTATAGATATCAAAATTTTTTAATGGGTTCACGTCGGCGCTAAAAGTTTCCCCTGCCGGAGCAACAGTGGAGCGTAATAAGATGAAAATATCCATTTTTAACCTATACAAAATGCCACATTTCGCTAAAGCCTCTAATTACAATCAACTAATACATGTATCTATTGTTTTGTGTTCGTCTACCCGCGACTTCGTCCGCATAAGTTAAAACAAGTTAAAACAATTTAATTTAATTGGGTTAAATTAGTAAAAATTGACAAATATTTACTAATTTAACCCAATGAATATTTTTTTTTATTGAAGCTAGAAGTTTCTAAAATGACGAATTACCATTCAAAGTTCATCCCCTATTTTATTTTACCCCGTCAAAGGTAAAATTTTAACAAACTTTGAATGGCATCTTTATTTATATTTAATTAGCAGCGTAAAAAATAAGTTTCAAGCTTCTAGCTTTAAAAATGAAGCATGTATTTTTTCAGGGTCTTGGTAAATTGTGTACCAAATTTCATTTAAATCTACCGAATTTACAATATTAGTAATGAGCAGAACTAAGCAGAACTTGTATTATGAGTAGGTATTTTTTTTATGGATGATAATGGAATGTTGCACCCGCTTGCGCTAACGGTTTACGCTGGCGGGGCACCAGTGGATGATAAGATGAGCATGATGTCAGGTCAGTTAGCCCTGACCTGACATCATCTTGACAAATTCACAAGGAACGATGGTTTCCAGGGGGAACCGCGTGGAGGTCAACCTGACATGGTATATTGCTAGCATTATGACCATCAGTCCACATTACTAACAATCTCCTTTCTCTCCCTATGAGTAGGTATAGCATAGCTACTAATACAAATACTTAAATACAATACATATATATATACACAGATATTTCAATTCCCATGTAAAGGTCCTTTGTAAATTATTTCTATAGAGAATACTTTAATTCCAACCCCTTAATAATAGTTCTGAGGGATATTAAATATCGATTTAACTTACCCTGGAAGAGGAATCGTCTCGTCATCAAGATGCAAGTGGTCTACCACCAGAGGATCTAAGACAGGGATTTCCTCGTTACCATTTAGTATTACATCCCTTACAGATTCTAATATTTCCCTTATTACACCCTCTAGAACTCGTGATGCTGAAATTTTTAGATAAATAACATTAAAAAAAATATTGGTCGTTTTTAAGCAAACATAGTAGAGTAGAGTGACTCCTGATAGATGAAGCGACGATCACAAATTCGCCTTTTTTAATATAAATGTTCTTTCGTGACAAACATGCATGGCAATAGTTGTTCATGCACGGGCTTTTCATTTAATGTTAGACGTAAATACGCATAAGTATACAATATAAATAAAGTGGCTTTTAAAAGAAAAAAAATCCAGCCTAGTTTATTACCAATTCTGACTGTTCTTGACAGTTTAGTCCGTTAACGGGGCACCAGTGGAGGATTACAACTCAGCGTAGTAATATCATCAAGAAATGACCGCGATGGAAGTTTACCAAGAGAAACCTCGTGAAAATTATGGTACAGCAGTTATGTTATTAGTCGACATTAATTCAACACACTTACATAACAATTCTCACAATGCCATCAGTTTTAAAATAAGCATAGCATATGTTACGGGGACTAAACAGCTCATAGAAATAGAAATCCATTGTTTTAAATACATATCATCATTATTACATAGTATAAAACAAAGTCGCTCTCGCTGTCTGTCGCTATGTATGCTTAAATCTTAAAAATTTTGATAAATAGAGTGATTCCAGAGGAAGGTTCATATAATACATGTAAATCCGTGCGAAGCCGAAGCGAGTTGCTAGTATAATATACATGGAAAACGCCCAAATCAATACTCATAGAGGGGGACAAGGGAATCTCACAAAGTTAGTGTAATAAACATTATAGGAGCAGGACATTGTCAACCATATACGGACCAGGCGCAACCCGACATTCAGGGTGCTGCAGCTGGAGTCCAGTCACAATGCCAGTTTCATGGCGTTTGTGGCTTTGGATTGCCACCAATATATTGCCCACCTTCATGAAGGAGGACTAGTGACCGAAAGGGATGGTAAATCTTGGCAGATTGCCGTCGTCAGTACCGTGACCAGATGGACGACTTATATTTTATATTATTATAACATATGCATGTTAATCTAAATATATATATATATATATATATACATATTGGGCATCAGTAGCCAAAATAAGTAAAAAATAAATAAACATCTAGAACCCTCTCACCGCACAGTTTCAGAAAGTCTTACATTAGTGTCATCACATTACAATTTTAGTATTAAAACAAGAAATTTTGACTATTCAAATGTGACCAACTGTGACAGAGGGGGACTAAAGCTACTATAAATGATGTGACATAATTTATATATACCCTCTAGATACAAATGTTTGTATTGTACCCGCGGCTAACGGAAGTTAGGCAGTGTGTTAGAGTACCTACTAATACTTACAAGCTAATGGTGTGACCTCATTTTGACTTATTGTATTTTCAACATGGACTGGTACCCCTTTCACGTAGCATAGCATAAACAACAAACAATAAAACGTCTTCATATTTCTTGTATTCTACAAATATAAAGTTAGAAATTTAACATCACATTAATAGTAATTTGTATAATAATCCGTGATATGGAATGCTTGCGGTCAATTCATGTGAATAACGCAATTTCACGAGAAATACGAGAAAACGCATAAATATTTGATACTATCTATTTCATTTGACTTCGTCTGCTTTCGTACTAGTTGTTTAGTCGTTGAAAGGTAAAAAGGGAAAGCTTTCACATATCAAATATTAGTAGTTCGTAAAATTAATGCAAAAATAATATACTTCGTATTTCATACTTTTTGATTTTATGATAGGTAACCGATTAAGAACTATAAGATCATACAATTATAAACGCGAAAGTTTGTAAGTATGGATGTTTATTACTCTTTCACCTAAAAATTACTTAACGGATTTTGATGAAACTTTTATATAGCTTATACATCGGAATAACATAATGGCTATAAATTTTAAGCGTGTGAAACCGCGGGCACAGCTAGTAAAGAATAAATAAAATATAGTAATTATATATTACCTGATTAATTTTATATTAATTAATACGCAATGTATGTATATAACTAAAATGTTATTATTAATATAAATATTAATATTTAGTAATACGTCACTACACCTGTGCACAATAAACGATATGAAATGTAATTATCTAATTGATATTTAATTATAGATTACAACACTAAGTGCTCAAGATTTATTTAATCTGTGATTAACTGATAATGTATCTATTGAATGTTATTGATCATATAACATCAATACAGAATACCTATTGTCGCATATTTTTTATGTATTTTTATTGACAAACAAACTGATGGTCCGCCTGGTGGTAAGTGGTAACCGTCGCCTAATATACATGAATGGCAATACGGATATCACGTTATCACATGACAGCCATAATATGTCTCATACGTTGCTATTCCAGAGGTCTATGTTATGACTCTTATCCTATAAATTCACACTATCACACTTTTAATTTACCAATCATTATTTTTAATTGTCTTTTTTTTCTTCTCTTCTTTCATTTATTATAAAAGAAGGTAATACTAATTGGTACGGCATAGGGTAATAATAATTATTATTATTATTATTACCAGATTATCATTATTATTAATTAATGACTTTGGTCATTTTTTTAGATTTTAGATTTTGATTATAATTTTGTATTTTGAATTCGACACAATACTTACACCTCGACCAGACTCTAGTCTAATCGCTCCTCTCCATCCTAAGGTTGCCTGGAAGAAATCTCTTTTCAGTGATAAGGCCGCCCATTGTTGCCTCCTTCCTTTGACAATGTTGTATGTTTATACATAATAGTGTATATAAATGTTTGTCTGTATTCTAAGAGGAGAACAATAAATAATTTTCATTTTATTTTATTACTTACTAGCTGCACTAAAATAAGTGTAGCCTAAGTTACTCCTCAAACTCTCGTCAAAATCGGTACACCCATTTCAGAGATTAACCGGAACAAACAGATAGACAGACAGACAGACAAAAATTGTAAAAAATGTTATTTTGGTATATATACCATATTTATATTCATACGCATGTAGTAAAAAACGGTTATTTCAATATTACAAACAGACACTCCTATTTTATTTATATGTATAGATTATTAAGAATTAATAAATAAACAAAAACATGAAGTATGAAAATAAAGAAGTATGTAAGAGGTACCGCTGTCAGAGAGGTTGAAGAGTAGTCGTCTGTCATGGTATGGACATGTAATGCTTAGGATCGTGGATAATATTTTAAGAAAGGTGTTGATATGAATGTGGATGGTTATAAGGGCAGAGGAAGGCCGAAAAAGAGATGGATGGACGGTGTGAAAGATGATATGGTAAGAAAGGAAGTAAATAACGGGATGACTGCAAACAGAGATGAATGGAAGCGAAAAACTTATTACGCCGATCCCAAATAAATGGGATAAGGAAGAAGCAGATGATGATGATGATCGTCGATGACAAAAGAAAATTCCTTAAATCGTCATCCACATTATTTCTACTATGATATGGTACAGTAAATTATAAGAGGACTTATTATCATACAATTTCTGTATATCGTATATTATATATGTGTATTTACAAAAAAAAATCTGTGTATTTATATCAGTTGTTTAGTACGCATAACACAAGCTCTGCTTACTGTGGACTAGATGGCGCTATGTTAACTGTCCAGGGTTATTTATTTATTTATTACTAGCTGTTCCCGCGACTTCGTCCGCGTGGAATTTAACCTTATTTTTCTAAAATAAAAGAATTTTTCTAAAATAAAAGTAACCCAAGTTACTCCTTATTAGATCAGTTACCTGCTAAAAACAGTCCCGTCAAAAAATGGTCCAGGCATTTCAGAAATTAGTCGGAACAAACAGACAGACAGATAGACAAAACTTGTAAATAATGTTATTTTGATGTATGTACCGTATTTGTATTCATATGCATATACTAAAAAACGGTTATTTCAATAATACAAACAGACACTCCAATTTTATTTATATGTATAGATAAACACTTGGATTTCACTGTAATGCTTCCCTTTTAGAAGTTGTGACAATTGCCAAATATCATTCTAGGCTTTGTACATTTGAGGTTTCATAAGACTTCGTAATCACGGGAGTAATAGAGGTGTAACCATTTGATGACCTCGGTGGTGCTAGCGGTCTAGCACACCGCTTTACGTCCGATGGTCGCGGGTTCGATTCCTCGCACGGCACAAACATTTGTATTCATGAGTATGATTGTTTGTATCGGTCTGGGCAAAATCATGTTTTCTATGTATAATATGTATGTATTTACCAATATATATTTTCTTTTAATTTTGACTAAAAAAAATCTATGTACTTGTATCAGTTATCTAGTTAACTAGTTAACACAAGCTTTAACTAATGTTATTATCTTATTTAACTTAATTGTTTGACTAGGTGGTTGCTGATTATAATATACCAACTGGGTCTCTGTGCTTTATTTAAAAAAATAAATTGTCCTGAGATAAAAAAAAAATATCGCATTCCTAGCCAATGAGTGTATAACTTCATTGCCTACCTTTACTAGAATTACTCGAGATCCATTATCACCTCTGGTTCAGAGCGCTAGCATTTGTGTAGAATTTCAGTAATTTACATGGAGGCAATAGGTTTTTAGAATGGCAAGACAGCTTAGTGATATCCTACAAGCAATTTAATAAATCTGATAATATCAAAAACTAATTAAAATTTTGAGAACATGTCTGCTCTTCTACAGTTCTATGCAAAATCATAGTTCTCCATCACTCTCTATGCGAATGTGGCTTGAATGACGGAAACATCTTTTCTTACAGTGCCAAAATTTATCAGTCCAAATTTATGATATACTACCCTATGATTTTCCTCGTCCTACCAATATATATTTTCTTTTAATTTTAACTCATCAACACTTATTGAGGGACTGTAAGCGGTCTCACCACTGCTGTATAAAGCCATAGGGCAATTTTGGGGTTGATTCCCCATTGGGGCCGGTCGAGAATTATTCTGTAGGCTGTTTAGCTTGGTGGCAGCTGTGGAGAATCCTCCACCATATTCATTGTAAATTTACCTAGTATTTTGGCTACAAACAGTCAGAATACTTGCTAAATTTATAATGAAGAAATAACCTGAAATTATAATTCTCACACCATTTAACTATGATGTTTAGTGCTCTTTGGATGCGGTCTGATATGTTGCACCCTCTGACCATGACAATAACCTCAAATTGGTTTTTGTATGTGAGTTATTGCCACCTTACTTAACTAATGTTATTATCTTATTAATGCAAACCTTACTAATAATTGTTTGTTATTTATCAGGTATTGTGTTGTCTTTGATTATAATATACCAATCTCAACGTAAGCTAAATTGTCAAACCACACTGAGCAATTTTAAAAAAGCCACACTACAAAATTTTTACTGGGTCTCTCAAACCATGAAATGACCAATCAAAATTGGTAATAGCCATTTAAAATAAAAAAGTATATTCTTTATTTAAAAAAATAGAATATATAGGTAGTGTTTTTCATAAAGAATAAAAAAAATATATACAGACAAGAGTAGTATGGTATTTTTATAAATAAAAAGCGGTCATTACGTTGTTATTTAATAAATTAACTGAATTCATAATCTGATAAATATTATTATTAACCGATTTAGTAACTCTGTAATATGTTTCATATTTATATATTTTCTGCCAATAAATAATTTAAATTTAACTATGAATGGAAACAGTGATATAAATAAATAATCACTAATATCAATACAAAAAATCATACTCATGAATACAAATGTTTGTACCGTTCGATGAATCGAACCCGCGACCATTGGAAATAAGGCAGTGTACTAAACGACTGGACAAGCGCTATTTATATAACTGCAATGAGTGATAGTGTAAATAAATATAAATCCAATTTAGTTTTTAGAACAACATGTTTAATAATAAAATATTGTGTATCACTGAAGTCGCATCTCGTCGAGTTTTACGTCAGCTTGGAATCAATAGATTGCGAGTATACTCTCAGCGATCTGCAAGACGATGTATTCCAACAGCTCATTGATATCAGCCTGAAAATACATAATTAAATTAGTAATCTTTACATAGTATATATTGAAATCGCTTCCGCTGCCTTTTTGCAACGGATTTTGATACAGTTTTTAGCAATAGATAGCGTGATTCTAGAGACAGGTTTATATATGTAATACATATACAACCGTACGAAGTCGGAGCAGGTAGCTAGTAATAGAAAAATGAATAACTTTTAAGTCTATAAAATCTAAGTAATATTATAAACGTGGAAGCTTTACGCAAAACCTACTGAATGGATTTTAATAAAACTTTACAATAATATAGCAGAAAAACACATAAGCTATAAATTTCACGCGATTCTAGAGACAGGTTTATATATGAGACCTTTTAAGTCTATAAAATCTAAGTAATATTATCGTGGAGAACTATACGTATGATGCAACTATACGTATAAAGCAATGAAATTCCAGGGCATGAAGCATACATAAATTGCAGTGATAGTGCTGCAGTTATTTAGAAAAACGATAACTACACGGCTCTCTTAGAGGGCTTTGTATGTCACACATTAACGTATGTACAAAGTGTGATATTATGTGACAAGGGAGTGGAGGGATACTAATTCAGTTTAATGACATCACATTTCATATGTAAATACGTAAATGTAATATATGTACCTTTATAAAATATGAAATTATAATTATTAATGAAAATCGTTCAAATTTCAAAATATGTGACGGAATTTCATATAGCGATCTCTCAAATGTAATTAACTATGACATGGTTGGGGCAAATTTCTGTGACATCATTTATCTAATAGAGGATAAGGAATCGAGCTGAGGGATTGTCATTGTCAACTATCAATATTGTTGTCAAAAATTTCTGCCCTCACTAAGTTTACAAGATCTAAGAAAGAAAGAAGAGATCGAGCCTACTGACATTTTTCAATAGGTTGTAATTCTGTCAACAAAAAGTCAAAAATATAATTGATACACATTTTTTCTGGTGTCGACCAATACTGAACTTACGACCTTTTGGGGACCAAGATAGAGTCAGGAAAATCTTCATAGGGCTGACGGGGCTGACGGGGTCTACTGGATTTAAAAACCTGACGGCTATTCCTTCTCGAATATATTGCCAAGAGCATGGGTACGCCTTCGCATTCATCTAAGATCTTAGCATGGTTCCCATCGAAGGTACCTACTATCTAGTCGTGCACCTCTACACATTACCTCCCGATCCTAATGTCTCTCTGGAGAGCTGCAAATGGCCCTAACCATCCGCCACTCTAGGGTCATAGAAAAGTATAGTTTTACTTCTCTATTACCCTAGAGTGCAATAACACGCGCTATCAAAGCGCGCGAGATTTGGCCTGGGAAAGCCTACGCGCGCGATCCTGAGGGATTACATTTAACTATTTTTTTGTGCAATTTTTTGAATACATGATTTGTATTCAAAAGATTGCACAAAATTCACTTTCTACTGAAATTTTATTTCTTATTTCTCAGATTTCATTTTCCAGAGATTTTCCGCAATTTGCAATAATACTTAGTTATTCATACAAGGCGCTAAAGCACGCACGTCCTTTAGACAGGAATGCGCGTGCTGGCAACGCGCGCAGTCTTCCTCGTTCTCTTTGTGTACATGCTCATTATTTCCTGCGTAAAAGCCAGCTATTATAATATTCAATAACTTACCCTGTTGGCTTCAATTGCGGTGGGGATGGTGTCTCCAAGCAACTTGTTGATGGATTGGGAATAGTCAACATTCTGGATTCTGAGAGTTAGGGCGGACTAGAAAAAAAAATATTACAGTTGAAGTTTAAATAGTGAGTAGTTAAGTCATTTTGACTAAGATCGTGCCCCGTGGCATACATTAGGAGGGGCTATCCAGCAGTGGATTGCAGTGGGCTGATGATGAATAGAATAAAATAGAATAGAAAATCATTTATTCAAATAAACTTAATTTAAGCACTTCTGAATACTAACTACTACTTTTAAACAATCCTTGTAAGTTCACATTTTACAAGTCGAAACGTGTGAATACAAACTACCAACCAGCACTAATTCATTTAGGCTCAAATATAAAAACACAATAAGATTAAATCAGTCGTAGTGATAAGAGCAGACTAGTCCCTACAAGTAGCACTCGATCACGAGTATGACGGATGAGCCAGCCATCATTGCGCTCGACCATATTTTAGGGAGCCCAATGACCCGGCCCATATGTCTGGACATTTTAGTGAGCATGACTAGCACGACCTCGTCATAGCTACTTATTTAATGATGATCATGATGAATTAAGTAATTTTATGTAATTGGAATGGTAAACTTGATGACGGCCTTAGTAATCGGTAACAGCCTATATATACGAATAGCACTACGAATACCACTCATGCGTTGCCATTTCAGGGTATAAGATGTCATGTCTTTTATCCTGTAATTTGACTGCCTAATTTCATGTAAGTATATCTAGCTAACATTCCATATTTGTAAGTGTTTTCATAAATAAACAGCTATGTATTAATTAGCCAGTAGTTTTATTAAATAAAATAACAGCCGCTGTTCATATAATTTGTTTTATTATTATTATTATTATTATTATTATTATTATTATTATATAATAACATCCTTGGACAGTTCACACAGCGCCATCTAGTTCCAAGTTAAGCAGAGCTTATATTATGGGTACTAGACAACTGATATAAATACATGGATACTTGTATGATTTTTTGTAAATACTTACATAAATATGTTTACATAGAAAACACCCAGACGGTACAAAAAATCATACTCATGTATAAAAATGTTTATAGCGTGAGAGGAATCTAACCCGCAACCATCGGAAGTAAACCGGTGTGCTAATCCGCTAGACCCCCAAGGCCGTCAATTTTATTATTACATCTAATATAATCATCAAATCGTTACGAGACGAAAACCATTTCTTGTCTGATAAAATATTTACAGAATTATGTTTTTAACTGTGGGTTAACTTATAGGATAAATATTGAAATATTTTTTTTTATTTTTATTAAGCCTCTTACAATTTTTTATATATATGCGTTTTTATTTTTGACATTTGATTATTATGAGTAGGTGGCGCCAATACTGTAAGTACACTTGACAGTTTCTTGTCAGTTCTTCTTAGCTCGAACTCACACAGAACTGACGATAGATTTGAGAAGGGCATACAAGATATCAAAAGGGTCATAGACATATGGGTTTGTAATAGATCTACACGTGATATATTATGATTTGATTTTATTTGATACTCACCTCGATAGCTTGTAGACTGAAGTCAAGTTCAAGAGTGCGGATGGAGATACCTCCTAATACGCTAATACGAACATCAGCAGTCAAACGAGTTCCCACAAGAGCGACGCTGTAATAATAAATGATATTAATACGTGAAACAAAAACTTTGTTCTACTTTTTAAGAAAATTATAAGGACGGAGGAGTGTGTAATTTCCCACACTTATTGGTTGTATAGAGCATATCAATATTTTTTTATTATGCATTAAAGTATCTGTGACCAACTCATGTCCCAGTTTATCTGGGGTCGGGTATCCCTGTACAGTGTCCGAGGACTCTGTTCTGGATTGTCTGAATAGTAAGGTTGTCCTGGTCCATCTGCTTCTTAATATTTTTCTACCAAGTGTGATCGAATTTGACATGCATTAAAAATATATTAAATCAATAAAAAAAATATTACGTACACTACTCTTATATGTATTTGATACGCACATATGTACTCTTTTGTTTATTTGTTATTGCTGGTTAAAAGATCTTTTTGGATTTTTATTATGGTCGAGTTTCACTGGGCATACCATGACCGTTATCCGAGATAACAACTGTCGAGGTTGTGGTGAATACAAGAGTTGACATACCCACATTTTGCTAAGTATATTTGAATCCAAAATGGTATAAGGCGAGCCTACCGCCGTCTCTCGCAAAGAATAAGTCTAAACTATTATAGTTTAGCGGTTTAGCACAGCGCCTTACTTTCGATGGCGACGTCTTCAATTCCTCGCACGGTACAAACATTTGTATTCATGAGTGTATTCCTTAATATCGGTCTGTATATTATATTTAGGTATATACATAAAAAATGTAACTAATTATTTCTATTAGTTGTCTAGTCCCCTTAACACAGACTTTCTTTAGCTCGAGACTTGATAGCGCTGTGTGAATGGTCCTGAGATATTATTAATATTATAAGAACTGCATAAGCTGAGAGTACTTACGACCCTCCGAGATTGACATTTAAATCTCCACCAAAGAAGGAAAGATCCAATGCGGACGCACCTGAAAAAAAGTACCAATGTACATAAACATATCTATCAATGTGTATAAATAAATTGATACCTTTGTAGGTATATATAGTTCAGCCGCTAAGCAGCTTGCTTGTTTATTCGGTGAGCATAGAAAGTGAAATTACAGGATAAGAGGCATAACAACTTTATCTTCTTGAATGGCAACACGTGATTGGTTTCACAGCTGTCATATGACAATGTGATGTCCATATTACTATCCGTGAATACAAGCGTCGGTTACCGCTTACTATCAGGTGGACCATTAGCTTCTTTGCCATAATAATTACAAAAGAGAGAGTCCCGTATCCGCTACGAGATCAATTAGGTGGCAATGTCAGGGATAAAGTCTGTAGTTCATGCAACAGGAGCCGAGATAGGGTGGGGGGGGCATTCCGTATTCGGGTGCGTTCTCCCACGGGTGAAGGCGAGGAAACTAGGAAGAGTTCCGCCCACGCGTTAAGGAGAACCCACTTGCGGGCAACCACTGCTGGGGTCGTATGCGAACACGAATGCGCGACCCCGGTACTATGGCAGTGAGAGAAAAAGCCGGGAGTTTTTAGAGAATAGAAGTTTCACAGTACCCGTACGCCATCTGTCGCCGATTTTCCTAACGTAAAAAGAAAGGTGTTTGAATCTCCGCTCAGACAATAATCATTGAGATCGAATTGAATGCGATAGGGCATTAATCGCAAGGAAGCACGATATTACATATTTGAAACAACAAAAAAAGATTTGTTATCTTTTTCAAGTTCGTCATATTAGGAATTATAATCAATCATAATCAGGATTAATGGGATTGTCTCATATCATAGAATACATATGTATTTTTTATAAAAATAATATGTGAAATTGATTCAAATCTGATAATAATGATAATGCTAATAACGACCTTCAATTTCTGTATAAACAAAATTGATCGAATAAAAAAATGGTGTGATGTTTTATATGTAACTTAAATGACAAACAGACGACCCACCTGATGGAAAGTGGCGATACTCATCTGTAAAAGTACATAAACAGCATCGAGGACCACGTCATCATGTAACGGCCGTGGTACATCTAGAGATAGTGGAAAGTGGATTGCTAATAATGTGGATTATAACTTCACTGCTAGCATTGTCACTATCACTACATAGTATAAAACAAAGTTACTGTCTCTGTCTGTCCATCCCTATATATACTTAAATCTTTAAAACTACGCAACGTATTTTGAAGCGGTTTTTTAATAGATAGAGTGATTCAATAGGAAGGTTTATATGTATAATAGGTACATGTCTAATTTGTGACTATACAACAGCGGACAATGAAAAAATGAAGAGGACCTGTTCTGTGCAGAATATTTTTCTCTACAACTTTTATTTAAAACATATTTTCATATTTCTTACCGTTATCGAGTAATTTTGAAAATGGCCGTTTTTCAATTTATTCATCCCTTTCCCGTTAACTTAAACCCAAACATTTCTTTCTGAATATTATTATTCAAGTATTTGCGGACTTATTTTTATATATTGCGACAAAACTGGACACATCATGTTTAATTTAAAATTTTACCTGACTATTTACAAACTCTTATGATTTATATTCTACCATCTAGTCGGAGTACTTTCGAGCTAAAAAGATCTGAAACTAAAAAATAAGATTCTTGGATAATTCAGACAGCGTCATTTAGTCCCAAGCTAAGCAGACCTTATGTTGTGGGTACGAGACTGCTGAAATAAATACATAGATTTATTTTTGTAAATACGTACATAATATGGAAATAAAACCCCCAGACGGATATAAACAATTCCTCATACTGGAATCGAACCCGCGACGATCAAAGTAAAGCGGTATGCTAAACCGCTAAACCACTAAGGCAGTCGGTAAAATAGAGTAATTATTTAAAGGCAATTACCGACAGCAGCTGAGAGCCTGGGCAGAGACACGTCGAAGGTGAGCCTGAATGTAATAGGGTTGTAACGGATATCATGCAACACGATGTTGCTGGCACCAGCCAATGCTATATTCTGCGCCCGGGCGTTGACTGCGAAAAGGCTGTCGAAGATAAACACGTAATTTTAATTTACTTTTATTTATAATCCTTTATTGCACCGATATTGGAAAATATAACAATAGATTAAAGAAGGTACAGAAGGCGGTCATATCGCTAACACAAACTCTTCCAGACAAGCTTAGGAAAGAGAGTATTACTAAAAATAAAGTACGCGGCACATGAGCGGAATTTAGTTGACAAAATTAAAATAAAGAATATGTATATATTTTTATGTAAATTACATAATATAAAATAAAGTCGCTGTCGCTATCTGTTCCTGTGTATGCTTAAAACTTCAAACTACGCAACAGATTTTGAAGCGGCTCTTTTTAATAGATAGAGTGATTCTAGCGAAAGGTTTATATAAGTATATAATAACCCGTGCGAACACCCGTGCGAAGCCTGGGCGAGTAGCTGGATAATAATAAATTAACAAATAAAACAGAATCACAATATTATACAGCTTACAAAGCAAGCTGCTTGGCGGATGAAATAGGTGAGACTGAAGTACCCAAGCAGACGATGGCGCTCATTACCAACCACAATGCATGTCGCCAGATTGTTTACCATTCCAATGACGTAGACATCCTAATAATGTTAGGTCGACCTCCACGCGGTCCACAACCATCGTGATTATTTCCTAGTATCTTCTACACGATGAGTTACTATTCTACGCTTATTAACTTGATATTATGTTGATTCATTCAGTTCAACATTAGATCCACCAGAGTACACCGGTAGAGCAGTTGGTTGTATAATTCCATTATCAACCTTAAAAAAACAAATTCACATGACTGTATGAACCAGGGAAAGCTCAAATATACTATGTTATGTTTTTTTTACCATTCTATTCTAGCGCCACCTACCACCTTTTGTCTTTTTTCCTCTGCCTAAAGGTTGTCTGGAAGAGTATGCAATATAAGCGATAAGGCCGCTTTTGTTCCCTATTACTATGTTAATTTTAGTTCATGAAATTTATCTGGTGCAATAAAGAGTATATAAATAAATAAAATACTAACTCGGTAACTGGAAGTTTGTATTGGAATCCCAAGGCGTCCACTCTGTATGGGTCATAGCCAGCCTCGACTAAGAATACGCTTATACGATCGATAACATCTTTAACTATTCCCTCAAGGAGTCCATCATCGTCATCTTTGCCTTCCGGGATAACTTCGCCTGCAGAACAAGAAATATAGTTATTAACTCTGATATGTTTGTTAATACTTCTGATTGGTTAATTAGAAATAGTAAAGGATATACTGGAATTACCTTTAAATAAATTTGAAATACCTATGAAATCATATTTACTGAGCAAAGCATTCGATATAATAATGGGTTTAGGACGTTGTTGGGGCTCCCTCGTTCTGTTGTCAGTGTTGTATGTCAGTGCATCAGAGATATTTGCAGCAGCGCGGGTGGTTTTCAAGCCATAATGCGCAAAAGAGTTGCATCAGTGATGATTAGAATTGGGTGGAGAGCAAACACCCTCCTAACAACTATTGCCAATATGTCAGATTGCCCGCTCCAGAGGCACTGGATATCGTTGCACTGCTGCAGACCCAGTACTTCAGGACGTGGACACAGATATATGAACTGAGAGTATTTATATTTTACTACCATAGTTTATAAGTTGTTTACTAACACAATATGGATGTAATCCGAATTAAATAAATAAATAATAATAGCCTTATTACACACTAAACGATAACCTAAATGACAAACGTGCATGATAATAGTTGTCCATGCACGGGATTTTCATTCATTGTTAGACATAAACACCTATGTATTTAGGTAAAATCTATAAATAAACTGGGTTTTAAAAAAATACAGTTGAGTTTCTGCCAGAATATGTAAGCAGGTTCTATCACAGCATTGCTTACTAGAGCAAATGGCGTCCGACAATACTGGCCTCCAACAAAAATATATATCCACTTAAATTAAGAAGAAAAATACAAGGAGGACGCTCCCAATTTTATTATTTTATACAAGTAAATATTGTTTTAATATACACATATATATATATATATAATAAAACTGTTCTCTATAGTATATAGCAGATAAACTGGAGTTTGATGTTACTTTACTTTCTGGGGCGTTAACGTGGGATGTGCGTAAATGCATATCGTGTTTCTATTCATCAAACAAAAGACTGCCATCCGCCATTTTGAAAAATATTGATCATAATCAATATTTCTTTCTTCTTTCTTATTGTCCAACCCATGTTTTCTGGGGTCGGGTCTCACTGTACATCTGCGCCAGAGAACTCTGTTCTGGGTTGTCTGTATATTAAGGTTGTCCTGGTCCATCTGCTTCTTAATATTATTCCACCAAGTGGCGCGTGGCCTGCCCCTACCTCTGGTCGAGTTTGGTATCTTGAGCACTTTTTTAACCACGTAGTTGTTTTCGCGTCTTTGAATATGGCCATACCAGCGTAAGCGACTTTCTCTTACTTTTTCCACGATAGGAGCTACTCTGAAGGAACCTCTAATGTACTCGTTGCGGACTTTATCCAGGCGTGTCACACCACCAGACCATTTCAGCATTTTCATCTCATTCGTGTGCAGTTGTTGTCCGTTGGACTTTTTTCATAGTCCAACATTCTGATCCGTAGGTTAAGGCTGGTCGCAGCACTGTCTTATATACTTTCCCCTTGATCTTAACGGGCACTTTGGGATCGCACAGTACACCTGATAATGACCGCCATTTGAGCCAAGCAGTGTTTATTCGATGATTAACATCTTTATCCACATCGGCATCAAGTGTATGACGGAGCCGAGGTATTTAAAACTGTCTACTTTAGGCAATGGTGTACCGTCTATGCACACATCAATTACTTCATCCGCTGTCGCTCCATAATTGCACGCCATATATTCTATCTTGCTGCGGCTGATGCGTAGTCCGTGCTTTTCAATTTTTTCTACCCATTTATTGAACGAATTTTTTTTTTATTATTATTTTTTAGTATATTCTTGGAGGCCAGTGTTGGTTTTGCTTTTTTTTTTTTTTTTTTTTTTTTGTTGTGATAATGGAATGGTGCATTTTTTGATAATATGAGCATGAGGTCAGGTCAGTTAGCCCATCGTGACAAATTCACCAAGAATTTAACACGATGGTTTCCAGGGGGAACCGCGTGGAGGTCAACCTGATATGGTACATTGCTAGTAATGGGTTCATTAGTCCACATTACTAACAATCCCATTTCCCCCCTGTTGGTTTTGCTTATTAGAGCGATGTCGTCCGCATAAAGCATACACCACGGGGTAGATTCCTGTATGTCACGTGTTATATAATCCATGCACAGGTTAAACAGGAGGGGGCTTAGTGCTGAACCCTGATGCACTCCTACTTTTACCAGGAACAATCCACTCAGCCCTGCAGGACTCCTAACATAAGTTGAGTTGTTCTGTACATATCTTGGACTATCAGTATGTATCGTTCTGGAATCGCGTGTGCTCTCAAGGACTGCCAAACAAGCTTCCGAGGTACTCGATCGAAGGCCTTCTCTAAATCAATGAAGAGTAGATGCAAATTATCTTTATTTGCGCGATGTTTTTCCATAAGGATTCGGATGGTCTGAATTGCATCGATTGTGGATTTGCCGGCTATGATTTTTTGATTTTCCGTTATACTGCTAATATTTGTTATGCGTCGGGTGATGATTCTTTCCCATACCTTGAGAGTGTTGGAATTAAGCTTTATAATAATAATAATAATAATCTCAGGACAATTCACACATAGTTACTAGCTAAAATGGGTCCTAGATACAAATAAATAGTCTTTTTTTTTTTCGTAAATACATACATATTATACATAGAAAATACCCAGACCGATACACAGAATCATACTCACGAATACAAATGTTTGTGCCATGCGAGGAATCGAACCCGCGACCATCGGTCGTAAAGCGGTATGCTAGACCGCTAGACCACCGAGGTCGTCGGTTTATACCTCTATAGTTACTGCATTCTGCTATATCTCCTTTGTTCTTAAATATTGGGCACAGTATGCTTTTGCGCCAGGACGATGGTATCTTTTCCTCATTTAGAATATGGTTGAAAAGCTTCGTTAACCACGGTAGAGCTACGGCTCCTAATTTTTTCCAGATGGGCTGGCTGGGATTTGGTCGGAGCTAACTGCCTTGTGGTATTTCATTTTAGCGATTGCTTTTCTGGTTTCTTCTAAGATTATAGCATCTAGAGGTCTTTCGATGGGTGGAAGTTGGGGTATTGGCTCACTGAGAAATTCCTCATTCATAAGCTGTTCATAGTACTCTTTCCATCTTTCCGTGATGTCTTTGTCCACTTTTAGCAGCTTACCTTGAGTGTTTCTTATGTACTTGTTGTTTTTGATATCTAATGTCAGTCTATGTCTCTGATGGGCAGTTTTGTATATAGTGTTTTCATTTTCTGCCTTTTTCAATCTGTTGTAGAAATCTTCATTTGCTGCGGCTCGGGATTGTGCTACTGCGGACTTGACAGTACCTTCAAGTACTCTATATACAGCACGGTCTTCATCGAGATCTGATTTTTGCCAAGTTTTAAAGGCGTTTCGTTTTGATTTTATAAGTTCCTTTACGTTGTCATTCCACCAAGAAGGATCTTTGGCGCTACGCAGTGCTCCTTTTGAGACACCGAGTATTTCTCTGGCCTTTTCTATACAGAATTTTTCAAAATCCGACCACATTAAACTTGCTGATTGATCAAAGTCGTCCCAGAAATCCAATTTTTCTTGTTCTGTACACCCCGTTTGCGGTGCATAAGGAGAGATTATATTAAATGGCGTATGGTTGTCCATAGCGAGTTTTACAGCTATAAGCCTGTCGCTTTTCCTTTCTACGTTGATGATACGTTGCTTAAGGTTTTTGTCTAGGATGATGCCTACTCCATTTCGTTTATTTGTAGTCCCGTGGTATAAAAGTTGGTAGTCGTTTCCAATGTTCCTCGATTTAAAGCCCCGCCACTTAGTTTCTTGGACGCAGCAGACGTTGATTTGTCTATTTCTTATGATTTCACTGGGTTCATTGCTACGTCCTGTCATAGAGCCGATGTTCCAGGTTGCCAGTCTAAACTTATTTACAGTGTATATAGGTATAGATTACGAACGCCAGTTCTTTTCGAAGTCGTCGCTTCGGGGGGACGCCCTAGTATGTTTCTTCTCTTTCGGTTTCCGTGTCGCATCTACGTCGCTTCCGGGGAACGCCCTAGTATTAGACTCACTCATAATTTCTTTGTGCTTCATGGTGTACAGGGAGGTAAGATTTGGCTTTGTGTTTTACGGCCGGATGCCACCTGACGCCAAGGTTGTACTTCCACCAGGAGAATTTCGTGAAAGATCGTGCAGCACTGCCAGTGACCTCTGCTTTGATTACCTCAAAGAAGCCCACTGGTAGGGGTTTGATTACGAAGTAACCTTCTCCGGCCTGTTGGTCCGCGAGGGCTATGTTATTTCACCCTTACCCTCTAGGTATCCATTTGCAGGAATACTTGACGAGTGTTCCCCTATCCGCTACCTGGGGACGCGTTCTCTAGGAGTGAGACTCCCCCTTGATCATAATCAATACGATATAAAAAATTTTAACTATACTACATTATTTTTCGCATTCTATTTTATGAATGATATAATGATATAATCATATTACTGTAATATTGAACTAATTATTTAGGACAATATTAAAAATTGTGTTATGTTATGTATATTAGAGTGTATATACTTACTTGGAACTGATAAAATATTGGCGTTAACACCAATCAGTAAAATGGCGAATGCAGCTAAAAGTTTCATCTTCAAAGTCGTCAAAAATAAATACACTGAAATTAATTCCGTGATTATTAAATAATAATTATTAAAGATACCACACAAAAATTTCAAATTACTCTCTATATATCGTAAATTATTACTTTCAAAATAATTAATACAGAAGTATAATTAATTTAGTTCAATAAAATAATAATATCAATTTAGATTTAAGACATTCATTATGACGAATTAGATAAAATAAATACGTGATTGAATACTGACCTTATCAAATAAAACAGCAAATGAAATAGAGTCGCAATTCACACTACGATTTGTTGGCAAATAATATACGAACTTATATACTGATTTCAAGAATCAGATATAAAACGAAAATAATCGCAAACGATTATGATTTGTGCACACTGGCGATTATATAGTACTTTATATAGATAATCGATAATGTATCATTATATAGAAAAGATTCACCGAGGAATGTAACGGATTTTCCTTCTACCTCGGATATCCGCGGATACGGATACGGATACGACACATCACTAATATGAAGGTACTTGATAAGGGGCATAACATCTTAGTCTTTCCGGAATATAATAACGTGATGTCGTAATGCTGTTTATCTGTATAGGCAATGATTACTTCTTACCATTTGTGGGCGCGAAAGTTTGTAATTATTAATGGATGAATGGATGTTTGTCACCCCTTTACGCAAAAACTATTGAACAGATTTTAGTGACTCTTTACAGTAATGTATACATCAGAATAACACATAGACTATTATTTATAAAGATACTAGCAGATTTGGCCACGGGTTGCTGTGGCTAAGGTTCTTGAAAAATATTGCGACTATAAATTGAGATTTAAGCTATCCTATCTTTCAAGTTGGATCAAATTGCACAAAATGTGATAATCAAATTTGCAATCGATTCAGTAGTTTAGGAGTCCTTCGCGGACAAACAACATGACACGTAATTTTTATATATAAAGATTATATAAATTGAGCGAAATATAATGCTAAATGTCACGTAAGTGTGATACAGACGAAGTTGCGCGGGTCAGTTAGTATTACATAAAAAAAGAACTATTCTATCAGGAAAGATATGTATTAATAAATCTACGACAAAACTTGTGCATGACAACATATGTAAATATGTAAAAATGATTAATAAATCATCTTAATATAATATATAAAAGACATACTGAATGTATTTAAATTAATAAATGTATTTAAACACAAATTAATGAAATTACTAATCTATAAATGTAATTATAATGTATCAGAATATTGAAAAACTTAAATTTAACGAAATTTAGTTTTTGTTATTAGGTTGATTTTATATGTACGAGAAAGACAACGCCCTTTCTTTAGGACAAAGGCGTGGCTTGTAACTTCACAGTCATATTATATCTTTTAACCACGACTACATCGGAGAAAAGGGCTATCTTTGTAATGTGGACTGACCCTATTGTTGCCAATGTACTCAGGTCAGGCAGGCACCTCCACATTATAATAAATTTCTGATGAATTTGTCACAGTGCGTTAACTGACTTAACCTCATGTACATTCTATCATCCTCCACTGATGTCAACATAAATCGTTAGGGCAGGCGCGTGCACCATTCCCATTCTATTACCATCCATTTTAAAAAATACGATACCTGCTGGGGTACAGTTAAGCGAGCCAGATAATTTATTTTGTGATTATTTGAGACTGTCAGCGCCATTTTCGTAAAAAGGCATACAAAGTATTTGATTGAAATATAGATACACGTATTAATATATAGATATCGATCGATCGACAAAGTTAGACTTAGTAAAAAATCATCTGCGTAATCTCAGTCTCACCTATTTCAGCTGCCAAGAAACATATTTTCTATACTGCGTTTTAGTTGACGGGTCTGTTCTTAAACATCTATCTAGCCTTATAGCATACTACTTTACTTCCGATGGTCACGGGTCGATTCCTTGCACGGTACAAGCGTATTCACGAGTATGATTGTGTTTGTATTGGTCTACGTATTCTCTCATTTTCTTTGTATGTTAGGAATGTATTTACAAAAAAAAATCTAAGTATTTATATCAGTTGTGTAGTGCCAATAACACAAGCTCTGCTTGCGTTTGGACAAGATGACGTTGTGTGTATTGTCCAGGCTACTATATTATTATTATTGGTACGCACGTCAACATATTGACGCAGATATGGGAAAATAGTAATGTTTCATATAATAAAAAACAATAATTAAGTCGTTCCAATTTAATAAATTAGCTTAATACATAATCAGATAAATATTATTATTATTAAACAAATTAAACATCTGTTTTTTACATTTTATTATCTTTGGATTTTACTCTACATGTAAATTGAACTCTATTGAACTAAATAGATAGAGTATAAAATAATTAAACAAGTTTTGATTTATTACAATTACAGTGATCTAAATAAATATAGGTAAATCTATTTATGAAATGTGTTTAATAATAAAATATTGAACATCAGTGAATTCACATCTCGTCTCGGTTTGTTTCAGATATGTTGTTATTAGTTTATAGAATGCTTTCAGCGATCTGCAAGACGATGTACTCCAACAGTTCATTGAGCTCGTCCTGAAAATATGTACATAATTAAATATTTACATAGTATAAAACATGTCATCGCCGCTATCTGTTCGCTTATATCTTTTAAATTACGCAGCGGATTTTAATGTGGTTCTCAGGAATAGATAGTGATTCAAGAGGAAGGTTTAATTGTGTACATGCGTGTTATAGTATAGAACAAACCGATAAATTTAAAGATTTGTAATGCAGCCGCGACGGGTCGCTAGTAAGAACTAAATAGAGGATAATTAGCACAGCGTCGTCTAGTCCTAAGCTAAGCATATGTAGTCTGTGCTATGGGTACTAGACAACTGACAGATGGATATAATTTTTTAACTTACTATTACTGTAAATATATACTTAATATATGTATACAGAAAACATCCAGACTGATACAAAAAATCATATTCATAAACTAAATGTTTGTATCGTGCGAGTAATCGAACCCGCGAATATCGGAAGTGAGGTGTACTGAACTCCAGACCACCGAGGCCATCGACATCAACAAATATTCTTTATTCAAATCCTTTCTTCAAATTTCTTTAAATACAATTATATAGAAAAACGGGAAGACTCAAAAACCGTTTGTTTGTCTATTTATCTGTTGGTATGTCAGGCTAAAGAATTGAGAAAAATGTGTCGCCGGATTCGAACTCGCGTTCTCTAGGAACGTATTCAAAATAGTAAACCATGATCAGACACTCCATAAAGCGAGCTAAGCAGAATAACTTACCCTGTTGGCTTCGAGTGCATTGGGGATGGTAGCTCCAAGCAACTTGTTGATGGGTTCGGAATAGTCGACGTCCTGAATTCTGAGGTCGAGTTCGGACTAGAAATAAAATAAAACATGTATTATTAAAAGATTATTACTTTATTTATGGTTCGGACAAAATATGGCATAATGAATACATTAAAGTGATTCGATTGCGTGAGGCTATTTCGTTATATAAGATGGAGTAGTCAGCTGTCGAAGTCATAATGAATGCAATACAATAATTGATCTTATGAGTAGAAATAGCTTTTACTAAATTTGGATTATTAAAAAAATGTACTGTCCCATATATCTTTAAGTCATAGTTACCCTATTCACTAGCAGCTTACATACATAAACACTATATAGGCAAGTTAATTTATATACAGGATTAGTAGTCTTTATATCATACAACTTAAACGTATACATATAGGGTTGCTGATTCTTTGTGATAATTCATTTATTACAAAGAATCAGCAACCCTATATTTGTTATTAAAAAACAGCCAACGTTCTTGGTTAGTGGAATGATAGGTAGGGGGCGTACCTAAAAAAACACGCTTCCAATTTTCAATTATAAAAACTATGAATATCGTATGATATTCATAGTTTTTATGACTGAAAATCCATAGGAAAATATGTAACAGTATTCAGTTTTTATGACTGAAAATCGGCAGCGTGTTTTTTGCTGGTGACAGCCGATGTTAGGGTTGTGTTTTTTGTAGGTATTTAATTTTTATATAATGTATAATACTTTGAACCCATTTTTCTCGAAGAAATTAAATGCTTTCAAGGAAGTTATTTGTTACCACTTTCATATCCTTGCGGCTTAGTATACCCTTTCCGACTAATTCTGTATATGTATATATCATACACGTATGCCGCGCTGCAGGCGTACAATCTGTCGTATCTACAATGTAGATAATAAGGGGGAAGGGAATTATTATTAATGTGGACTGATGATCTTATTGCTAGCAATGTACCATGGCAGGTTGACCTCCACGCGGTTCCCCCTGAAAACCATCGTGATAAATTCTTGGTGAATTTGTCACGATGGGCTAACCGACCTGATCTCATTCTTATCTTATCATCCTCAACTAGCACACCTCCAGCGTAAACCGTCATGATCAATGTGGAATGCTCACCTCGATACCACGAAGAGTGAAGTCAATGTCAAGGGTACGGATTGAGATGCCTCCGATGACGCTAATGTTAATACGAACATCAACCTTCAAGCGAGTTTCCACAAGAGCGACTCTGTAATAAATAATAATTTTATTAATACGTGACGCAAAAACTTTTTTCAAAAATTGCGCGAGGAGTACGAATGTTTTGACACATACACACAATTGTTATGTATCTGCTACCCGAATGAGCGGTAGGATAAAACGGGTAAAAAAGACTAAACTAATCCGAAGGACTTTTGGTATTAATACACGATCATTAAGTCCAGTCGGGATAGTAAATCACTATGGTTTTCAATTTCAAGCTTTTAATTCAGTTTCTTAGATTAGTCGAATGATTGAGTGCGTAGAGATTTCTATGTTGATTATCGTATGCCTCTTACTTTTTATACTGTAATTATTTATTAAAAATAGCAACACACAAGTTACTTGCTCATTCTTCTTGTAATGAATCTGCATTCCCAATGCCGCTCATTGGGAATGCAGATTCATTACAAGAAGAATGAGCTACAATCAAAATATGACTATTCAAAAGTGCTTGTAATGACTTCATTTGAATAAAGATTATTTCTATTTCTTCTTCTAGTCTGCACAAATGCACAGAAGACACCAATTTAATGGTCCCGTGAACTTTCAATTTGAAAATATATGTCCTCAATCGGAAGTAGGTTCTATTATTACTATTTTTTTTCAAAGCACGTAGTTGATAAAATACTTTGCTACTATATTTCTATTGCTTAGGATATCGTAGGGCGAAATACATAGCCCTAACAAATGAGTCGGGGCCTGCTCTTTACCATCTACAGGATGTGTCAACGCTGCCGGAATCACGGAATGTTCTAGAATCGAAAGCTTTTAGGTACACTATTTGCTTCTTTAGTAAGAATCTCACACAACTACCTCACACCCCTCCGGCAGGGGCAGATTGTCTTTGTTAAAATTTCTCTACATGTTAAAAAAAAGAGCCCCGACATGATTAATTTGGCCCTACATTGCGATCCCTACAACAGGGATTGCGGTACATGCGAATTAAAACTAAATAAGCCATAAAATGTGATTACTTACGATCCTCCGAGGCCAACATTTAAATTTCCACCAAAGAAGGTAACGTCCAAGGCGGAACTATCTGAAAGACAGAAACAATACCAGTATAATATTACCTATGTATACACAACAAAAATCTGCAGGTTTTACTGAACTGAAGATGAAACACCACTACACATCCTATGTGGTTGTAGCCCACTCATACGTAAACGTAATATTATCTCCTTTGGAAAGTTTACACTCTATCCTGAGGAGATAAAAACCATCGCTTCTAAGAATATCCTTCAATTCTTGTCCCTGACGGGTCTAGGTAGCGAGCTCTGAAAAAGGGTGAGCACAATAGATCTATGTAGGTCGCAGTACCACAGGCCCAAGCAACTGTAAGTCCAAACCCCCCAATAAAAAAAATGTATATATTTTGTACCCATCTTACTAATATTATAATCGGGAAAGTTTTTGAGTATGGATGGATGGATGTTTGATACTCTTTCACGCAAAAACTACTGATGAAACTTTACAGTATTATAGCTGATACATTAAAATAACATATATGTATAGTCTATAATTTATAAAGATATTATGTAAATTGGGCGAAATACATTGATAAATGTCAAGTAAGTGTAATGCAGACGAAGTCGCTCGAGTCAGGTAGTATTGGCAATATCATTGACGGACTATAAATGAAATTATGACAAAATACTCGATGTACTTATCGCATGATTACAATACTTGTTTATTTCTAACCATACCTGAGAAAACTATTTTGTTATATTAATATGTATATTCATTGTAACATGCTCGTGAACGACTGCTACTTGTAGGGACTGGTCTGCTCTAATCACTACGACCGATTTAATCTTATATATTTAATTTTTGACCCAAATATATTAGTGCTAGTTTATAGTTATTTACACGTTTCGACTTAAAAATATAAAGTTACAACGATTATTTTAAAAAGTAACATGCTAGTTTCTTGTTCATTCTTCATGTGACGAGACAGCTATCCGAATGAGCGGTAGATTAACAGAAGAATAACTATGACTATTCAAAAGTACGTAAATTATGTTTCTATTCTATTCTATAGTATAACATCACAACAAACAAACAATTTTTGTTATTCGTCATATTAGTAATTATAATCAATCACGATTAATGGGATCGTCTCTTATCATAGAACACTAATACATATGTATATTTTTATAAAAAGATAAATGTAGAATTGATTTAATTCTGATAATAACGATAATAGTAATAACGACCTTCATTTTTAACCGACTCCAAAAAAAGAGGAGGAAATTCGGTTTTATTTTTTCTATTTTTTCTAATGTTTGTTACTTCATAACTACTACGTCGGTTATAAACCGATTTGATAAAACATTTCTATTTGAAAGTATATACTTTCTAATTGGTCCCATTTTTCAATATTTCGAAGTTGTATTTCTCAAAAATATTAACTGTATAAACAAAATTAAGCGAACATAAAATTAGGTTTTATATGTAACTAGAACAATAAACTGACGGGTCATTTGATGAGCAGTCATTACCGTCGCCCTCATACAGAATTGAGATAATTAAAGATTTTTTTATAGCATAGGAATGCAAACGAGCTTGCGGCTCACCTGATGGTAAGTGATTACGGCTGCCCATGAGCACCGGCAATAACAGAGAAGGTATAAGATCTTTTCTTGAAGTTTTCAAAGTCATATCGGTTCGAAAATACTATTACTGGAAGGTAATTGATTCCACAATGTGGTTTTGCATAGCCAAAAGTTTCTAGAAAACCGCCATTCATCCAGGATCACGATCAGGATGCTATATTACTAACTAACTAACGGGTAGTGAAATTTCTAACGGCGATGGTGAAATTCAGCATTCTTCAAAACACCCTCCGTGATGTATGCGGTAGAAAATACACAGAAATTATTAGAAAAACAGTTAACATACCGACGGCAGCTGAGAGTCTGGGCAGAGATACGTCGAAGGTAAGTCTGCTGGCGAGAACGGCATAATTGATATTGTGCAGCACGATGTTACTACCACCAGCCAGCTTCAAGCCCTTCAGCTCGGCGTCGAGTGCGAACAGGCTGTTGAAGGAAAATTAAAAAAATATATATCTCATGTTTCAATTATAGTCAACTTATATTAATACTCAAAATAACTAAATACACGAAAGTTAAAGATGTTACAATCAAAATCAGGAAATTTAAATGGAAGTGGGCGGGACATACGATACTATATATATATCTTTAACAAAGTAGTATAAATCCATCACTTAATCCTTATCCTTAATTTCTTTATTAATATTATAAATGCGAAAGTAACTCTGTCTATTTGTCTGTCTGTCTGTCTCGCTTTCACGCAAAAACTACTCAACCGATTTATATGAAATTTGGTATACAGATAGTCTAGAACCTGAGAAAGGACATAGGCTACTTTTTAATCCGAAAAAAGGATTGTCAGGGGTTAAAAGATAAGATAAAACGTTATATGGAAGTATCGACAATTTACGCGGACGAAGTCGCGGGAACATCTAGTATAATATAATAATATCTTAGAACATTTCACACAGCGTCATCTAGTTAAGCTTCATTTATAGGTACTAGACAACTTACCCATAAATGAAGCTTAACTTGAGACTAGAGGACGCTGTGTGAAAAAAATACATATATATACCTATATATTTTTGTAAATACAAACATATTAGACGTAGAAAACACTCATATCGATACATACAATCATACTCATGACTGTACTTATAATGAAATAGAAAATCTCAGCAAAATAACACTATATTCGATAAAATGTACTAACTCTGTCACTGGCAGTCTATATTGGTATTCCAAGGAGTCCACTTCATAGGGATCATAGCCGTTGGCGGCGAGGTAGTTGCTTATGAGGTCGAGAATATCAGCAATTATTCCCTCAATAAAACGAGCATCGTTCTTGCCTTCTGCGATGGCTTCGCCTGCAGAATTAAAAATAATAATGATGATGATGATGATGTAATCCCGGCCGATTTCGGCCACGGCGATTGTCTTCAACTCCGGTTTTGCCGTTGATGTGCTCGCATGTGACTCATGTAGCCAATTTTGTTTGTGAAAATCCTCGCTCATTGCGGGTATGAGAGCACACACTCACATAATTAAAAAAAATAATAATAACGGCAGAATAGAACATGTAAGTAGAAAAGGTATTACAGCCACAGAACTAAATGATTCGTCAAAGGTGTGTTTTTTTATTATGGTTATTGAAACGAAGAATAAACTATCTATCTAATGGTAAATGAGCAGCACCATGGGCAAAAAAATTAACTACCTATCTAGGTGATGGTAAATGAGTAGTACCGTGGGTACAACAGAATACAATATGACAACGTCATGTGTTGCCATTCTAGAGGATAAACTTGGTATATCTCCGCATACTTTAACTACTTATTACTACTATTACTTTATGGCAGTGAATGCCATGTCTCACTTGTGAAGGGTGAAGTAAATAAAATAAGCTAACGGCAGACGATACCTACGTAGATATTTATTACGTCTGCCACTGTTATACAGTTATACGAAAATGGATAATTTATAATAAATATAAACGGCCTCGGTGGTTTAGTAGTTTAGCACATCGCCTTACTTCCGATGGTCGCGGGTTCGATTCCTCGCGCGGCACATTTGTATTCATGAGTATGATTGTTTGTATCGGTCTGGGTATTTTCTATCTATAATATGTAATGTATGATTTTACGAAAACAAAAATATGTCTATGTATTTGTATCAGTTATCTAGTACCCTTATCACAAGCTTTAACAAGCTTAACATGGGTCTAGATGGCGCTGTGTGAATTGTCCTAAGATTTATTATTATTAGATTATAAAATATTGTATACATTACATATTTTTAATTAACCCTGCATAAAACAAATAGCAAAGTTATATTTTTTTAAATACACGTAATATTTTCTCATATCACGCCTCAAACAAAACTCTACCACCGCCAAATAATAGACGATAAATATTAAAAATAGTATTACTATTATATAAACGTAAAATTATTATCATCTCTCTTATCGCTGTACTAATTTAACTTTGATTATTAAACATGCTTTGACTTCCATGGTATACCTAGGCATAGCCTAGCCACACTAGTTATAGATAAAATATTACTTAAGTAAAGTTTTCAGAAATAAGTGTTGTTTAAATTGAGCTCACTATTAAGCTATAAGTTTCAGAAGTCATCATACTTTATATGTATTGTATGTAGTTCAACTGAATCGTTTTGTTCTGATTTTGTGAGTGAAAATAAAAGGTGAATAAATATGAAACAATTATTGCTGTGTTTTGTATATGCGACGATATTTGAGTGAATAGCAATATTTGGATAGATCTTGTTTCCATTAATGGAACATGAAATGCACTATTCTTTTACATTACCAATAAAAACTATTAGTATTGAATTGTTTATTAAAAGTACAAAATTCGATTCCACTAAAAAGTTTTTTAATATAATAAAAGTCTAAATAGTCACCTCATAAATTGTAAAAATATGTATTAGACAGTTTTTGTTACTTACTTGGCACCGGTAGAACACTAGCGTTGGCGCCAATCAGTAAGATGGCGAAGGCAGCTAAGAGTTTCATCTTCGAATAAGGATACTAAAAATGTTTAAATAGAAATTATTTCGTCATTCTATTCTATAAATAATTACTATTATACAAAGGCAACATATACAATATTTGGAAAAGCTTTTGACAATGAGACACCTAAAAAATCAACATATACGTATATATATATTTGTTTGTATATACAAACAAATATATATATACAAAAAGTAAACTAAGTTTATGAAATTTGGCATATCAGAAAACTATGGTTTAGTAGATCAGAAAGATAAAAATAAAATGTCAATAACTCTAATTTAAATTTAAATAATTCGACATGAACTACATAATTAGATAAAATAAATATGCAATCAAATTCTGACCTTATCAAACAAGACACAGAATCAAGTAGTCGTAATTCAAACTACGATTTGTTGTCAAATACGACTTGGAGAGCTTATATACTGATTTCAAGAATCAGATATAAAATAAAAATAATCTCGAACGATTATGATTTGTGATCGACACAGTGACGATTATACTGTTATCACATTAATTGAATATTTTATGTAATTTGATAACTTATCATTTGTATTGACAAATATTTGTTCACATCAATTTATGGAAGGCATAAATTACATAGTGTGGGGAAGAAGGGATTGTCAGTAATCAGTAGTTTTTTCCATTACTTACAGATCAACATAAATACAATCTTCCCTGGAACCCATTGTGGTTAATTTCTGGTGAATTCACCGTAGTGAGCTATCTCTTCATCAGGACGAGGATGTCCTTATTATCTTTCACAGGCGTATGCCACTAGCTATGCTGATAGCACACCGGCTACGCATAGCATAGAGTATAGTAATAAAAAAAATCTTACTTTTTACAGTACGACAAAGTTTTGAATAGTTCATCTGATTCATATTTTTTTGTATTGTTATGTTTTGTTCTATGGTCTACTGGAAGAAAATATCTCAAGGTGTTAACTCCGCCATATGTAGTCTGTGTATTTGTGTTTTAATATATAGTTAACAATTGACTTTTTTTACTTTCCTTACCATTATGAACCATTCCTTCACATAAATCTTCTCCTAACAATACTATGCTCAACAGAAATGAAATTATTAAATAAAAACCTAAAAAGGATTTGAGATTTTTGGCTTTTATTCTAAAAACAATCTCTAAGGTAAGAAATAGAAATATTACCTATATTTTTATTAATTTGGTTATAGTTAGCGTTCCTTTAAATTTTTTATTACTTTTACGTAGAAAGCGACAACCATGGTCTGAATAATGCTCATTTGACGCCCGAGGTTTCTATTAATAAAGACTGTTGTGTCTACATATTAAAAAAATCACTCCCATATACCCTTCAAACTCAAATAGATTACAGACCAAGCTATCAACATATTTAGCGTCAGAAATACATAAGATTAAGGTAGTCACGAATAACTTCAACAAAATGTAACTCTATTGAATTTGATGCGATGATGATATGTAGTAGCCGATATCAATCCGAAGTGTGATGAATTGTCATCACACTTCGGACGTTATTATCATTCATCATTATTAGAAATCATCATTAATATATATTTTAAAACAGTATAATGATGTCCATTATCTGTATTAACCGATAAATAGATATCAATTTATCGCCAACATTTAATCCTCTTTCACAACATGTACATACATACATTGAGTGTTTAGGTAAATATGGATTAATGGGATTGGGTATTTTGCGTGAAATATCTAATCTAGCGTCACCATAATGCTCAGTGTAGCATCCTTTGCATGTACATTCATTAATAGTAATAATTATATTTCAAGGTATAATTGGGCTGTTAGGTATAGGATTTATAATTTATTAATATGTATTAATTATACACAAAAATTATATAATATAATTGCACACAAAAATTCTATTGACGAATGAATATGCAGGTAAGTAAACTAGGAAATAGAGATGCTACTCGTACGGAAATCCTTGTGCAAATACGAGATCCTTGGTCTTCGGTACGAGAACAAGCTTGTATTATTTTAATAAAATTAAAAATAAATTGTATAATATGAGATTTTGACCTACGTAAATGAGTCTACTATTAAAATATGAGGTTATCTAATTCACGAGATTTCTTCTTTTATTTATATTAGCTTCGTAGCAAAGTTTTAGTTGGTAACCCTGCTGGAAATAAACGGCTATATCTAATATACTACATAACCTAGTGGTTACTACCCCGACCATGAGTTAAAATCTGGTCGTTATCAAAAAATGTTATCTCAATCTTCTGTTTGTGAAAGGTTAACACACAAACAGACTGTTTTCGCTTCTGATGATAAGTATGTCTTTCCTTTCTGTATATCCAAGACAAATAATAGTTTCGGTAGTAACTGTACACAAAATTCGACGCAAAATGCTCGCTTAGTAAACAATGTTTACTCATTAACTATATCTAAAGAACCTAAGTGTATTCTTTTAATGACAAATATCCTATTTAGCTATAATAATAAATAAACAGGTGATTTATTCGTAACAAAGGCTGTGATAAAAAAATACGCTTAATAGTATATACTCGTATTATTGTGACGTCATATCAAATGATACGTATTTTCGATACTTTGTACGTTCTGCACGATACTATAATGAAGGTCAAGTTATATTTTTATTAATTTATGTTTAACTAGATACCCGTCCCGTCCCGGCTTCACACAGGTATTGTATTATGCTTATAAATCTTCTTCTTGAATCACTCTATTGCTAAAAACTGCATTATAATCCGTTGCGTAATTTAAAAGATCTAAGCGAAAAGACGGCGAAAACGAGCTTCATCTTACATACTATGTGTAAATTGCAATGGCAAACACGCTGACGGGCATGGTTAATGGTAACCATCGCCTATACATATACAAGAACGTTAGCACGTAACGACCCGTGATACCTCGTGCATTGCCATTCGAGAGGACTAAGATATTATACCCGAGTATACTGTAATTTCACTACCTTATCTCACCTTTCAGCCGAAACATAGATATAAAATAGAGCCAGATGCTTGGCCGCTAAAACAGGTGAGACTGAGATACCCACGCTAATGACTGTTACAAAGTATATCTCAGTATTTGAAAGAAGAAAGAAAGAAAAATATTTTATTCAGTGCAATGTAAAAAATACAATATAAACAACAACATATAGTATTTAATACACAGCAACTTTATTTTCCTTAACTAGTGTAGTTAGTAAAGTAGTCTACAATATTTTGTTAAACCTATAGGATCAAAATTATAATGTACATGGTTAAAATACTTTAGTTCTAGATATGTTGTTGATACTATGTATTTTAAGAAGATTCTGATTCGAAAAAACTAATTAAACCCTGAAAATATAATATGATATGAGTATTAATAAATTGAAATTTGTTTATTATAAAAAAAATTAATAACGTTTTGAACACGTTTTGTAACGTTTTTATTTTGAAGAATATAGACACAAATTGAGTAGGTCCATTCCTTTGAAGTGAGTTAAGAGTGGATATTAATCCTAAAATTACGTTATATTAATTTTAATACAAAGAAATGAAATGTTTTACCTATAATGAAACCATTCTTAAACACTTATTGAAGTATTATTGTTCCATATCTTGTACTATCTATAACAAGTAGATAACATATCTTCTAATGAGTTTAGATAAAAAATTAATGAATGAATTTTGTAAGGCGACACTTAAATGAACTGTTTCAATTAAAAACAATAAAATGTTAGATTAAATCTCTATATTATATTTAAGCCCCATATGAAGTAGGAGTATTAAAAAGAGGATAAATTATTAGATTCCGGATATCTGGTACAGAATTCTAAAATAAACAAACACATTTTATATACAAGCATTTATTTTTATAATTAAACACAAACGTTGCAAACATTCAATAATGCAATCATAGCACTAATAATATTATTAATAACTTACTTGAAACATTACTATTAGAATTTAAAAAGATAACTTGACTTAAAATAACACGTGGCATTGCTCATAGGCCTTACGGTGTGCCTTACACTTAGGCCCTTGTAATATAGGTACAATTACATTATTATAGCCAAGCCGAGACAAAGCCAAAGGATTTGTGTTTAGTAATATAACCGATTTATTACAAACTCCCAAACTAAAATACTCACAAAACGTTATATTAAATATTTCATAATAATTACTGTAAATATTTATAATTGTACAAGATAATGATAACTCGGAGAATTCAATAATACTCTATACTAAGCAAAGTCTATACGAGAACTAAACAACTGAATTTTTTTTTAAAATACATTATAGTTTTTATAAAAATATGTATTTCAGTTTTTGTTAGAAAATATGTGTATACAAATATACATATTTTCTAAGAATAACTGTGTATATTCTAAGAATATATGTGTATTTGTATACCCATATTTTTTTTAAGAATAACTGAAATACATATTTTTATAAAAACTATAATGCCAATACAAACAATAATCCTTAGAAACTCAAACAGTCGGAAAAAACGGAATGCTAAAATGTAAGTACAGCATGTAAATTATTTTATTAACATGGCCATCATCAGTTTTTCATCACGAACAGTATATATCAACACAAAAGTATCAAATTCAAAAATCATTTATTCACTTGCGGTCGCCTATACATATCAAAAACTAAATCTTGTATACTCAACCATGAACTCTGGTCGTTACTGTCATTCTGATTTTTATGTAAATGGAGGACTAAGGCGTCATGCCTGCATAGCTTGCTCCTGATTATTTTCTATTAGTAAATCATTTAATATAACGTTCTGTGATATTCATAATATTTAATTATAACTATAATAGGTGATGTGAAAGCGGAACAGTTTGTTGTGCATTTTTTGAAACATCTTTATTGTCCTGACGTCGCTTTTACTGTGATTAATTAATTAAACTTATTTTTCTTTACCGCTCCACAACTTGCAACTTCCTTTTGCACAACTCTTCAGTTTACTGTCTTTCTATATCATAACAATTTGGCATCTATTAAAAAAAAATGTAACAAAACATATTGTCACTTGACACATTGGTGCACAAAAGTCCCGGAACCGTATTTATAATTTTGAATAGATTTCATAATTAATAAAAATCAACTATATTTATATTTTTTCTTATATACGAAAGGATGTGAAATAAACAATGCTAAACAGATCAATATTTTGTGATGTTACGTGTAGGTATGTAATATAGAATCTAATAAGCCATATTTTAAATATTGAATGTAGACAGTTGAAGTTTTTGTATTTCATTTTAACTTACTCAACGCGACTCAATTATATACCAAATATACCGGTCTTTTTAGTTTTTATTATAATATTTGCACAATTTTTAACTCCAATTCGCAGAACACATTTTTATATGTCAAAGATATGATTAATATCTTTAAATTTGTAAATTACAAATTTCTTTTTTTAAATAGCAATAAAATTACATAATCAAACCGATCACGAAACTTTTTTGAATTCCGTCCATAATTCTACCTGCGATTAAAGTATAAAAAAGACGCTACACAATATTGTAATAGAAGCACTTGATTAAAATTGTTTTAATTTAAACAATGAAATACATTATGACAGCGTTTTCTTCTTAACAAAATAAAATCGTTGGAAGAAATTTTGTATAGCCATAATTAAGTATAAAGTTATATGTTGCTGTAATCTCATAAACAACCATTCATTGTGATTTTTGTACTGTTTGACATGTTGCTAAATTTTCTCATTCTCCGTTCTGGTTACTTTACAATATCCTAAACCTAAATTATTGACAGTTGGTGTAAGAATAATTTAGAATATAATGACAGTAATATTTGATATTTCAAATAATTGTTCATAAGTCAATTTATTATTAAAATATAATTATTACCGGAAGATTAGTAACATAGACATTTCATTAGCAATGCCTATATGGATAATTTAGACGTTATTTTTTAAAAATCATAAGTATTAAAAACCCATTAATAGTTTATGACGATCAAATGTTTCAAATTGTAATGAGGTACTTGTCAAGCATTAATAAATTATTAATAACTTTATGTCGAACCAATAATATTGAACCAAAATAATAAATATAATACAAATAGGACCGTTTTAGTGTACCTGCAATACAGTTGCTAATAATGCATACCAAAAACGATGCAATTGTTCAAAATTTGAATGATTGTGTATGGATGAAAGTTAGTCTTTAAGCCACAGAACACACTTTTTGTATCACAGATGCAAAAAAGCACATTTAGCCATCCAGTCTACAACGTTTACAGATTTTCCTAAAAAAATTAAACTGTTTAATTGAACTTTTCATTGTCAAAATTACGCCATATCAGCCGGTGTTAAAAATTCAATTACCTCAACATCTTACTTTGGCACTGCGCAATTTCCTTGGCCATCATATATCACATAATATAATAAAAGAAATAGTGCAGATATGTCAAGAAGGAACGCATCACTACAACTACTAATATCCTATGTTACAGTGTAATATCATATCAATATATATAAAAGTGAACAAGAGGCACTCTATAGGTTTACATACGCAGGTTTTAAATAAGCGTAGTCCGTGAAACATGAAACGTGAACTAGAATGATTATTGACACTATTTACTATACAATTAGGTACTAACATCAGCGAATTAAGACAACACAGCCCATACAAATACACATTTGAGATTTGTATACACATCGCCTAATATGAAACTAAAAGGAACGTAAGCCCGAAAGGTCTAGTAACTTTACGATTAGCACTTACTATCTCATAAGGTATCGTCTTTCACAACAGATTATATTCAATAAATATTACCACATAGGCACCCGTTCGACCTGCTCTTAAAGATAATAAAAATAAATTCAACATAACATTTCGGGCCACACGAGTTTCTACGATCACTAACATTCATACTTTATATACAACAATGAAATAATGTTCATTATCTATAATGCAGCTGTTACAAGGGTTTATTCATTAACCTTACAGTATATTGTAATAGTAATTTTTATCTTAAATCTCGAATTGTAAAGATTCATCTATTAAATTGTTTATACCAATATTTGAAAGCTGAACCGCTGGGCACTACGAACTCTAATCTAGGTGTATCAACCCTAAACGTTAAGGTACTAATTTTGTAAGTTCTAACACATTCAGTATACTAACGACTGTACACATCACGCCTCATTCAATGTCTTCATATTCTCGTTGACTCGTATCGTTTCGTTCATCATCACCAGATTGATCTAGTTCTTTTTTTCATTACGACAAACTTCAAGTCCAGGCACATTCATTTCATCAATTTTTATTTAAAATTTCATACAATTTAGAGTATCTCAATTATTATTTTCGACCTCCATGCATGTCTACAATAACCCCGAAACTGTCAATATACACGAACCATTATTACATGTACAACTTTCTAATATTGGTCCGCTACTGAGTTGTGAAATGATCTAGCTTATTCACTTAACTTAATCTAAGGCTAGAATGAACTTAAACATTTCTATGCCTTGCGTGATATGTATTGCAATAGAGGCGTATTAAAGCTAATATTTTATCTTCTCCTTACGCCGTTTAAACTTCTCGAAATTCACGCAGAGAAACGTTGTCCCTTTAAGAGTTTAGATTCGAAAAGACAGTTTACATTTTTACATAACATCACTCATTCCTGGCAGAAATTTTTCATATATTTAACCTAATCTCGAAAGATATGTAGAGGCTTATAATCTATGACAAAATTACGGCTACGTAATTCTATAATTTGTTATTAACAAGTGATATGTTGATGGAGACATCACTCCTTTAAGATAGATTGTAACATTAAATCATAAACAATAGTTTTACATTACTTATTTAATTTATGGAACTTAATAGCAACATTTCACTAGAATACTTAATGGACTTAGAATCGCTATTTCAATAACGATTTATTAATGAATATATATTATGTAATTCTGAAATTCAATCCAAATTATGCATAATTTGCACACAAGTTATACATATATTAAATAATTACAATATTATAATTTACATGAGTTAGATACTTGAAATAAATATTCGCAAACTTAAAATAATGTTTTTTTTTATACTCTATACAAATTGATGAGGAAACGTTTAATTTCATTAGTATATATAGAACATACGCTTTTATATAATAATATTAGATAAATCGGTACTGAAATCTCAATCCACGTAGCGCAATGCAACACTTGAGGTGGCTTATAATTAAAATATATTTTCTATAACTTTACATATAAAAATAAGTTAATACTTAATAAAATATCCCAGAGATTCATAAGACGGCAAAATATACATACATTATTTATAATATATAATACAAAAATGTTAGAATTTGACGAGTTGAAGTCAGTTATCGACGAAGCAAATCAAACCGAATGAGATGGTTAGAAGGCTCATGTTGGAATAGTTACTACGTCAAATAATCTTCATATAAAATGGTAGTTGTACATTATGGTTTGCGCAACACCATAGCTAGTGACTAAGTAGATGCCAAGGAAATCGTACGAAAGCCAGTTCGAGGTTGCGCTACTAGTGCAGTTCTCCTTAGGCTGTGGCTTATCTGGAAAACGAGAACAAAGTTATTTTTAATTATATATTTTCTTATGAGACAGGAATGCAGACTACAACTTTCTTATAAGCAGTAAACAATAGAACTTGTTAAAGACAGTGAAATTACAGGTTATGGTAACGTATAATTATGATGTTGCTTATGTTCTCCGGAATAGCAAGGCATGAGTAGTATCACGGACGTCACATGATAACGTGATATCCATAGTGCTGACAATGAATATATGTAGGACAGAGTTGTGACTTACGCTTAGATTGTTTACCATTATAATTACATCGAAGAACTGTCATTTAAAAGCACACAGATACTCAAAAAAAATGTGAAATTTCAATCAAATCAATAATTTCAGAGATATTTCATATAAAATACATACAAATATTTCATATGAAATAAATTTAAAATTACTTTTCTTATTATATAAATTATTAATTAAACATTGCCCATTTAAATATTTAGATTATTTATACATATTTTCCCTTCTGTCTCCCATTGAGTTTTCATGTCGATTCATATACCTCTTTTACTTCCTCTATAACAATCAATCAATTCATACAAGCTGGCCAGTAAAGGGTCCGTTCGATTGATCGACGTATGTCCAACTATTTAAATTATACTGGTTAAATAATACACTTACTCATAGCAGCCATTAGTTGGGGCAAGTATTTTTGCCAGAAAACGCATTGTTTCACTCGTAGACCATGTCCAACTTCAGTTGAGTTTACCGCCAATGTCAGGTACTCTCTACCCAATGCAGTATGGAGCGGCCAATGGACCTTTGTCATCTCGCCATTAGGATTCAAAGATGGATTCCTGAAACGTTGGAATATTATCCTTAAATTTAAGAAGATAAAATGTAATTTTGGATAATATTGTGATTTGTTAATAGGCGAATAACTGAACATTTTATGTATTGCTACCTCATGAAACTTTCCGTAGTATTTTATTTTTGTTTTACTTACATCTTCTATTCTTTATAATAAGACCTGTAAAATTTAATAGTATTTTTCACACTAATAGTGTTAAAATCGAAATTATTATTAAGGAATGTTAAGGATCACTATATCCCGCATCGGTAGTTAAACTGAATAAAGGATTAATTAGAGTTTTTGATAGATTGTAGAAGATTACCTCAAACTTTCAAACTAATTGCTACTATTATGAACATAATTTACTAACTTTTAGTGCCCTTTAGAGCATTTGTAGAAAGAACTGAGTGTTATAGACTTACACCTATTAAACCAATTCTTACACTATCCACATCATCTCAGACATACGTGTCCACACGTTGTAACTGTTCGTCAAGATAGTCTATTGCTATTATTAGTACTTACCAGTATATAATTAAAAAAATTACACTTACCCAGTTCTAGCAAAATTAGTCCAATATCTCATCAAACGTTTGCTAAACTCAACTTCTTCTGGAGAATAATTCTTTCCTGGATTTAAGGGCTCACCAAATACATAGTTTATCTCATCCCCGTGCATAACACCTGTCCATGATGGCCACGGGTTATTCTTACTGCGATGTTTATAGTAATAAGTATAAATGTTATTTCCAGTTTCAGCATATCGATGAGCAAATTCATTTACACCACACGTGTAATGATAATCTCCCACCATTTTATCTAGAGCATTTCGATTCTTTACAGGATCATCTGGATTTAACCAATCGGTATATTCATATATTATAGCCTGCCTTCCAATGTCACCGGCGTAAGGATTTAATTCTCGCACAGCTTGAATATATTGTTCTCGCGTAATCCCTACATTTTCTTCTTTAGGAAATAGTTCTGTGAGATAGTACAGAATAAAATAATAACCTTCTTCAGTATTCGAACCCATAAGAACATTTGTCTTTTTAAAATTTTGATGCGCAAGTGAACGTTTAGGCATTTCGTCTAAGAAAGATCCGTCTATTACAGGAACAAATGGGAAATCACTGATACCTAATGTACCCCATTCATTATTCACTAATTCATCAGCACTTTTCTTTCGTAAACAATCAATCATTGGACCTAAATCAGATCTAGAATGCGGACAGTGAACAGCTTCAGCTAATCGAATACCACGGATAATACTTTCTTCTCTAGATATTATAGCCCAAGGTACCATAGCAGCCCCTGACTGCATAATTGCTTGAGAAAATAAATTCCTAGAAAGCGGTGATAGCAAATGCAGAGACACTGAAACAGCACCAGCGGACTCACCGAATAATGTTATATTATGTGGATTCCCACCAAAATACGCTATGTTATCTTTGACCCATTGCATCGCCATAATTTGATCAAATATACCAGCATTTCCAGGTACATCTGGAGTATCAAAAAATAAAAATCCGAGGGAAGCAACTCTATATTGCATTGATACATAAACAATATTTTCTTCAGAAACGAGAATTTTTGGATCGTAAACATCTAAAGTAACAGACCCCGAATAAAATCCTCCACCAAAGATCCATAGCATAACAGCTGCATTCTTAGGACGTGGTTTAGGTGTTACGATATTTATATAGAGACAGTCTTCTTGCATGTCCGTATTAGGATTCCACATCATCGCCCCGGGAAAATCTCCAAACACTGTATCTACAATTTGGACGCAGGAATGTGGCTGGGTTGTGGTATTCAAAATTTCATCTCCCCAACCTTCTATAGGTCTCGGGTGCCTAAACCTTAAATCACCAATTGGTTTCTGAGCATAAGGTATACCAAACCAAGCGTCTACCTTCTTTCCCGTTGCTGCTGTTAACGTCATACCTCGAACTCTCCCTTTCCTAGTTCGAACAACCAATGGATCATCGTCATCTGGTCCAAACTGTGGTTCGTCCGCCATAAATTCCTCATTTTCGGCCCGTTCATGATTGGAGTACAGCCTCTCGTCATATTTCGCTCTTTTGGAAGAGGTTTCAGCATCTTCAAATTTCGCATGCTTTGATGAGGTTTCGTGCTCATCTATACGTGGTAGAATGGTATCTAAGTCGGGGTTATAACGAACGGCCTCGCCGTGGCCAAGATAAGGCTGTGGCGGGGCAGGTGCGGGGAAATGGAGTGGGTGCTCTGGGGCATGGTGTCTCGCTCTGTGTTCGTGCGGGCTGGCCAGCGCGCGCGCTGTCAGCGCCGTCAGCGCTACCAATACGACGCGCATACCGCCGCTACACCCGATCCCACAATCACCACCTGCAATTAATACATTATATAATTACATAACGTTTTATTAGAAAATTTCAAACTATAAACAAATATTTTAACCTAGTTTATATAATTTATTTATCTCTTATTGATAATCTTGTTTATTGTCGTAAGGAGGTAAAAATACTAATAAAAAGTTATCTGCGTGGTTACCTTGTCTCACCTACTGCTTGCCAAGTAATCCTGCTTTGTAAATTATGTTTCAGTTATAGGGTACAGATTAGGCAGTGAAATTACAGGTTTAAAGAAATGACATCTTAATCTCTGAAATGGCAACGCATGAGTGGTGTTATGGGTACCATAACCGTATCATGTTTTTACATATTGCCATAAATTTATGACAGTTTTAGTTACAATATTAATTAACATAATAGAAAATACGCATCTATGTAATGCCATAATAATTTCTCTATACATTGAAATGATAAAAGAATTATTAAGAGGAAAAAATATAATGACATCAACGTCACCAAATAATCTTTTCAAGCGTCTAATGCTTATAGCCAATGACAAATTAGTTTCCTAACAAAACTCAATAAATTGTGCCCTCAAAACAAACCGGCAATTCATCACAAGAACGCACAATGGACTCATGGACGTAATTTGAAAGACCTTTAATGTACCTTAGCGAAAAATGTAGTAGATAACATTTTTATTAATAGTTACCTAAATAGGTGACTATTAATAAAAATGGTAGGTAGAGTTGTTTATTTATTTATTGCATCATCAGCATCATATACTATGTACATTCAGTAAGACTTGTTCATTACATCTAACCTTACATATGTGACAATTACAGATGAACACATGACTGAAAATATGGACTATATTGTCACAATTATCGACTGTTTTAAAATAATACTATGATACACCATTACATAGTATAAAACAAAGTCGCGGTCGCTGTCTGTCCCTATGTATGCTTAAATCTTTAAAACTACGCAACGGATTTTGAAGCGGTTTTTTTTATAGATAGAGTGATTCTAGAGGAAGATTTATGTGTATAATACATGTACACCCGGGCGAAGCCGCGGCGAGTAGCTAGTAATATATAAAAACCATATGGATTGAAATAAAGTATACTAATTGAACTTAATTTTAAGCAAGTTTTAATAGTATTTTTTTTATTTTTGTGAGATATAATTAAATAATTATAAATCTACGTATTACTTGAAACTTTCGTAAAATAATGTCTACAGTTTAAATTAAATTCGCAAAACTTACGCATTAAATTTCATTAAAATAACATACAGTATTTGTGGTATATAAGTATATATTGTTATGCTTGCATTCTATGTAAACTGTGGCTCGTATGGAAGTGGTTCCAACATTGCTGTCAAAATCGCTAACAGTATATTAGAACCCATTCTACTTGCCTTAAAGAAATTGTAACAAAGAAATTGTACATAGATTTATGTTAAAATTTATTTCAATACATATACGACAACATAATTTAATTACCAATCAAACCTATACTAAACAAAACTACTAATGAAACTTTGTTACTCTAAAAAATGTCATTCTGGTGAAACGAAGACTTAATAAAGTCTAACCATAGAAAGCCCAAGTGGTATAGAAACAATCAAAGTTTATTCTAAATCCGTAAGCCAACCCTCAATAGTGCTATTTCGAGATTTCTATTTCTGTTTTCGACTATTTATATCCCGTCGGATAGATTACTGTCCGTTACGTGGGCAGAAAAGAATTAATTTTAATATATTTTCTACGTACAAGTGATAAACCTTAGAAGGTCAGATAACATAACTATACTTTCATTATGATACGAATTTAACTTTATTTTTCTAAAATAAAAGATTTTTTCTAAAATAAAAGGAACCTCAGTTACTCCTTATTACATCAGCTACCTGCCAAAAAAAAGTCCTGTCAACATAGGTCCAGCCATTTTAGAAATTAACCGGAACAAACAAACAGACAGACAAAAATTGTAAAAAATGTTATTTTGTTGTACGTAGCGTGTTTATATTCATATGCATGTAGCGAAAATTGTTATTTCTATATTACAAACAGACACTCCAATTTTATTTATATGTATAGATGTATAGATTATGATACATATTAACAAAGACTATACTTAAAGTTCATTCATCATCATCATTCTAATGGAATCATGTGATAAATAAATTTGAACTATTGATGATATCGATCGATATGTGTACGGATACAGTGGGTGCTGTACACCGCCATTTCTCTTTAGACAATCTAGTGAAGATAGTTGAACAAATTGCTAGCACCTATGCTGACACCGGCATTGACAATCTGTGTACAATCAAGTCAGTTCGTAACCTTCTTTAGTGCAGACTAGTCGAAATGTGAAAAGATACTACATACTAAAAATATTTAAATTATGACCGACCACCTGTGTCTATGGCGAAGGGGAATAAAAATTACTAAAACTAAAAATATTTCATGTGCCATAAATTATTAACTTTTAAAAGTAATCACGAATTTAAAAGTAACTAATATTATTTTTAATAAAATCCTAGAATAGAATAGAATAGAAAATTATTTATTCAAATAAACTTACATTGAAGCACTTTTGAATAGTTATCACATTTTATTTTAATCTACCGCTCATTCGGAAAACTGTCTCATCACAAGAGGAACGAGCAAGAAACTTGTGTGTGAGCAACACACAAGTTTTAAATAATTTTATTCTTACGTTATAATTTAAGTTTAAGTGTGTGAATACAAACTACCGATTAGCACTAATTCAATTAAATAATCAAATATATATAAAGAACTGTTCACAGTTATGTATCGTGAACAATTCTACTTGCACAATAATGTTACTAAAATTACTGGCTAACTTCAAATTACGTAGAGTTTAAAATAGAATTAATAAGCATAATGTAAATTGACCTCAATAGCAGCTTTGTGGAATCATAGTTCATCATCTGCTTCTTCCTTATCAGATTTATTTGGGATCGGCGTAATATGTTTTTCGCTTGCATTCATCTCTGTTCGCAGTTATCGCGTTATTTACTTCCTTTCTTACCATATCATCTTTCACACATTCCATCCATCTCTTTTTCGGCCTTCCTCTGCCCTTATAACCATCCACATTCATATGTAACACCTTTCTTAAAATATTATCCTCATTCCTACGCATGTCCATACCATGATAGACGATTACTCTTCAACCTTTCTGATACCGGTGCCATTTTCATACTTCCTCTAATGTATTCATTCTTTATCTTATCCATTCTTGTCACACCACACTTCCACCTCAACATTCTCATTTCAGTTGCCTTTGTGGAATCATAGTTATAAAGGTATTATTAAATAAAACTTTTAAATATCGCAGAGTTGTATTGAATGTTTGTTTTTTGTGTAATCAGTCCCCACAATACATCACAACCCGGCAACAATATGGAAGTTGCCGACCTAACCCACTGTCCCACCTTATTTGATGCTACTAATTATAAGTGACTTCTCCCTCAGGACCAAAATAATACTCTTAATCAAATTTATTTCTCGTTGAAATGTGTTAATAAATAAAACAAATAATATATATACTTCAACAATAAAATCTTGATAATTTGCTACATAATACATGTTTTAAACTTCTAACTAATAAATAATTTAATTATGTTGCGTCAGAATAACAAAAAATGTGTCTTAATTATATTGTTATTCGTATTTTTATAAACTTCTGTATAGACGACGATTATCGTGCTATATTTTCTTCATACCTTTTTTCTTACATTTTCTAAATACTAAATAAAAAAGTCACTATTAAAAAAGGAGCACTAAATATTTTTTAAAAAATGGTCACATTTAATAAAATATATTTATGTTTTTGTATTCTACTTTATTCAACATATTATTGTGATTTGCTCCGCGATCTTAAAATATTTAATTTGAATTTAGCGTACAAAAATATGTAACTTACTGCCGTTTTTTTACCGGGTAGAATTCCTCTAACCGCTAACGAAGTTAACATAAGACGTTAGTGAAGCAACGAGGACAAATAAAGCATCATAACCATATTCTTTTGCATGTATAAAATTTTAAAAACTCTAACATAAAAGTTGCAGTGTACTAATAGAGATTTTATCTTACGACTACGGTAACCAACATTTTTAACAGGGACATGCAGGGACAAATCCATTATAACAAAAATGTAAAAAAGTTCTTTTGACCTGGATGAAAATCCCGTTTATTCTAGGTTCTTGATCGAACAAATCATTCACATTGAAATCTATACGTGGCACTTCTCATTCACTCACACAGCTCGCATCGTGTCATACTAGTCGGTGTGGACAGATGATAAATATCGGACATTGCCTGTCCTGTTTTAATGTTCTGCATTGTGACTGTGATATGTTTGAGTACAATAATGGTTGGCTCGTCCGTTATACTCATTAAGGGAACCAATGTTCGGGTTATGGATATTAATTGAATTACTTCTTTTTACAGAAATGTTAGCACATGCGTACATCACACATCTGTAATTTTCTAATCTGTTACACTCTTTTGAAAAACTAAATGATGAGTCAATTCTTCGCTAACAATAGATTTGATAAGTGGCTGTGATAGACCTGAAAAAACACATTTTGATTCCATTTGATAGAAATTGTAAGAAATGATGAACCACCATCCGGGGAAATACGGACGGTTGGTTACACTACTTGCGACCTACATTAGGCGACTTGAGTAGATGACACGTACCGATAGAGCTGCACTTGGCATAGCCGTTCCACCACATTTGGCAGGCCTATCTTCGCCCAATTACTTACGACAGCTTACATGAGCCATTTAAAAAGAAATAGCGAGAGTTTCTGTAGTCAAAGTAATGGTTAGTGCATCAGCGAGAGTGTTTGGGATTGGAGTGCATATGCATGCCATTAAAGAATATATCCTGAGTTTATGTCTCTAAGAACCATGCTGTTCACGTTAGCTTTCCGTCAAAAATCTGTTCATTAATATAGGAAGTTCTATGTCGTAGAAATATACACATTAATAAG